AATTCATCGGCCATATAGTCATAATGCCATAATCAGCATTCTTTCGGGCTGAAAATTGATTATAAACACCTGGAAAAGCTCATTTTCAAATCAATTCCACTTCCATTCAGCGCTGTGTAATGCAAAAATAAAATCAATTCCATTCCGATTTGTACGCAATTTGTTGTTCCTCCTCCCATTGTTGGCCTCAACAGATCAAAACCGATCAAAACACATCTCGAATCTCAAATCTCACACGCCAAAATCAAAATCGAAAGCCGCTTAGGCGTTTTGTCCAAAAACAATCTACACCAAAATGTATCTGTAAACAGCAACAACAAAATTGTTATTGTTGTTTGTTGGTGCTGCACTTGTCGATGTACACAGAGGTGAATGTTGAATGTGAATGTTAAATGTGGATGCTGTTGGAGCAGTCTTCTGCTCATAAATGGTCACAGTAGCGGTACGTTTTTCAAGTAATTTTGGTCGTTTTGGCTACCAGAGGGTGGAGGCTTTAGGGTAGCAGCCACAAAGTTATGCTCTTTCTGCTGTAAACAGAGTATCAATTTCCATTTATTAAACTTACCTAACCCATTGGCATACCAACATTTTCGTGTCCTTTTTCAGTCTGTTTATTATGCTCTTGGTGCACTCAGGTGGATTGTAATGGAAGTATTTGTGTCTGCCCCTAACTATTTCTTTGTCATCCGTAGACCTCTATAAATATTGAATTTTTGGGCATCAAACATCTCACATAGTTTGTTTACTTTTCTGCATTTTGTACTCAATTTGTTAGCTCTCTCTTATAGGGTATTCCCCCTTCCATACCTGCCTTATATTTACTTCAATTTGCATAAAAAAGTGCGAAAATTTAAATCGTTCACTTCGACAGCAAAAAATAAACAAATTCCCGTGTCTCTACACTTGAGCTTTCCGTGTGTGTTTGTGTGTGTGGAGGTGCGTGGGCCGATCATCAGATTCCAAGGGTAACTCATGGGCTGATATAAACACACATACACACACACCTAAGTAGATATTTGTAGCTGTGTTTATCTGTATCGGGCGACCTTGTTTTCGGGTTTGATTCGTTGTGCGTGCGGCAAACGCTTGGCCGCCAATTTCCTGCCCTAGCGAATACCCCTAATGCCCACGATCTTAAGTGGCAGGCAGTTTGGGCTGGGGCAAATGACCGATTAGAAATCGTAAGTTTATTTCACAGCCAGTGGCACGCCCTGCCTCCCGACTGAACTTCAAAGCGCAGGCGCCAGCAGACAATTATCAATTTATGAATTGCCTCAAGTTCGAATCAAAGCGAACGGTCCATCATCATTAGCATTAGTTAAACGAATCTCACACACACACAATACCATTTCTTGTACTAATAAATGATCTTTCTCTTCTCTCTCGTTGCAGGTAAATAAATGAAATGGAGTGGAGTGGAAAATTCTTGAATTATGCGAAACTTTTCCAAAATTAAACACACAAAAGCCGAAAAATAAGAACAACATTTCCAGCTCGTGTCAAAGCGATGCACAAATGAACGATGATGTATCTGATGGCTACACGCGCTAGCAAATGTATCTGTATCTGTCTTTGTATCTCTGAGCATTGCATGCCAATAGAATGGTAGGCGAGGGGGTTCCCGGCACGGGAAAAATACTGAAAATACTTCGCTTCTGCTCGTTTTGTCCGTAATTTTTGTGCGCAAATCGAAAAGCTTTCTAATCGCTTGGCTGCCCGCGCGGAGTCCGAGGAAAGCGTTATTTTGTTTTTTTTTTTGCTTCACCCATTTTTCCATTTCCCCATTTCGCATTGCAGTTTGCGTCTTGGCAGCGCCTTGACATTTCGCTGGCCCGCAGGCTGTGTCGCTTTTTAAATTCAATATATAATTGTACATAGCAGAAGCAGCAGCAGCAGATACATATGTGAACACCTATCTAGATACATACGAGTGTATATCTTGTATCTATATTTTTTTCGTGTACAGTCGGTCGTTGATGTGTGCCGCCGCTTTGTGCTTTTTATTATGGCAGCAGCAGATATTTGGCCAGCTTTGTCACAGCCAACGACATTTGCGTTGTGTGATTTTCTTTTGGAAAATGAGTATACGAATTTTCGCATATTTCTACAGTGAGCTAGCGAAAAGAAAGAAAGAACTGTGTCACATTGCACCATCGATCAATGTCGCCGCCAAAGTTTAAGTATTAGTATTAACCCCACAAAATCAAAGTGTCTCAAAAAACGTTAAGAACCGCTCATCCGAGCATGGCTCTGACCATGAATATGGTGTTCCTCAAGGATCTACGCTCGCGCCTCAAAGGATATCTGTATCACGTATGTATTGGGGCAAAAAGAATATAGTGAAGAAAATCAAAACAGGGTATGCCAATATTCTGTACAGCCACTGTTACGCTCAATAAAACAGAGGCTCAACGCTTAATTAGCTGCTGAGTAGCGGTACAACGGTACATCGCTGTCGAACAGGCTCAACGGCAGCTGTTCTTGGGCATGTTCTTTGCTCTCTCGCACCTCCCACTTTGCTTTTCCACTCTCCTACCCATTCAAAAACACCAACCACCCAGCAGCCAACCTGCGTCATAGGAAATTCATTGAATTTGGCTCTTTTGATTTTTGCAGTGCATAAATATGCCACTTTCTCAGGCTCCCTTTGTCTTGTTGCAACCGCACATCCACCCTGCCCATGCCACAATATTATGCTGATTATGCAGTTATGTTGTGTCAGGCAACCGTCAGTCCCTGTCCGTAATCGCCTGATGCAATCTTATTGGGGCTTATTATCATTATTACGAGTAACAAGTATAAGACGCCGCTCAGATTTCCCACAAACAAAACCAAAAAGGTTGGAAGGCTGGTTGACGGTGTAGCATGAAAGGGTTATGGCAGCTCCCACACTTAGAGCACTCTTTTTGTGCATATTCCCAATTGATTTATATTCGATTATGCGCGGTAATAGTAAATTTAAAATTAATTAAAAGTGTCACTTACGGCAAACAAGATTACGAGTGATGATGTCCCACAACCACTCCACCTCCCACCCAACACAATTGAGCCTCAATCTTGTCCGCAGGCACAGTTTGAGTTGCACTAGGGGCCAGTGCCCACGTGTTGCGTTCAGTGATGTGCGTGGATCAAACCGGCTTTCTATGGCACGAGTCGAAAGCAAAAAGGCAGCAACGGGCGGCACTTGGGTGTGGATAATTATCAAATTTCATTATTATTATTGCCACATGTATCGCAAGAAACGTGCAGTTCGAAAGGGTTCTGCCATCTCTAGTTGCGTTTTGGGGTTTGAAGCGAACCTGTTGCTTGTCGTCACGATACGTTCGGATTGTTTCGGGTTGCTTTGCCGGACAACCACCACCCTAACGCCCACACACAGCCAGCCATGTGATATGTGTCTGTGTGGTTCGATGTTCTCATGTTCGGCTGTCTATAGGCGGGTCGCTGGCGTAGTTAAGAGCGAGTTCGGGCTCCAATCGAGAGGTTCGATTAGCGGGACAGACAGTTGGTGTTATGAGTGGGCTCGCGCGGCGGCGGTGACTCAGAAAACTCCCTCGAGAAGTTAACAAATTTCATAACATTTGCATAATTATCTGTGAAGTGATGGAAAATGAAGTTGTCCCCAAACCACCCCGAAAGAATTCGAATTTAAATAAAATATAAATAAAAAGAACACCAATCAAAATACCAACGCGGTGTGCAATTAATAAACAAAACAAACAAACAAGTTCCTAGGGAATTCATAGGCTCTTAAGTAACGTTACGAGACTAATCGAATATTATCAGCACCGCCGTATGCCTCAGAATGCCGTTTTGATAAGAAAGCGTTTTGTCAGGGTTAAACTAGTGCTAGAAGGGCAACCAAATGCATAATCTGTGTGACTAAATTGTGTAAAATAAGTTACAGTATTTTATTCAGGGTCTAAATTGCTTCATAGATGGAGAAAAATGTGTATGGAAAATGTCGGCGGATTCAGATTGGGAAATGTTTCGAGGAGTGAGTCATGGTATTACAGCAGTTCTTGGTTTATCTATGCCTGAAAGGGGAACTAATAAAGTTTGTATTGAATTTATTTCATTTGAATTGTTGTAGAAGTTGAGAATATTTTTTGTTTATTTTCTATAAGTCTATTTCCTGCCTCTTTGCCTTTCGGCACTTGCCATTTTGTTGGGGCACAGCCAGACTTTGTGAAAATCCAAATGTTTTATCTATAGCCAAATGAGTAACATTGTTGTATGTCTCATTGTGTAAATAATAGCTTGGGGAGTATATTAAATGGGCATAGAAATGGGTAAAAAGAAACATGGTAATCGCTGGCTGCCTCGCCTTTTTTTTTTGGGCGTGATAAACGAAAAGAAGGTCAAGATATGAACTTGAAAGTGAAACGGAAACAGCTGTAATACCAAGTTATCTCGGGTTAAAATAGAAGCAGCATTTAATGATCTTTGGAAAGAGTTAAGAATTCAATTCTAAGCGGCAGTCAGCCATTTCTATAGAAATTAGAACTGTCTTTCCATTCGCTGAAACTTTCCACACATCAATTGAAACTTTCAGTTGATTCCAATTCCTATGCCGCGCAGCAATCACAGCGTTAGACATTAGAGAAAGTGTAACGGAGCGTAGAGAACTCTTTTTTTTTTGTTGGGGTGAAGTCGACACTCAATTGGCATCGATTTCGATTAGAATTCCAATTTGCATAGCAATTATCATCTAGAGACCAACAACAGCTTCTACTCATTGCTGTTGTCATTTGCTTATCAGTTGGTTGGCAATCGCTAGTCGCAGCGTTTAATGAGAAATATGCAAGAAATGGGGGAAAACTCTCTTGGGAGGAATTAAAAAACATTTTCTAGATAAACGGTAGTCGGAGCGTACGGGAGTACGGTGAATCGTGTGAATAAATGTTGACCCTTCCCCCGCTCTCTTTTGCGTGTTGCTAATTACCATGAACTTGTCAGCTGCTCCTCCCTCCCCCCCTCGCGGCCATGTACAAGCCATAAAATGACCAAAGTGTGGTAATCAGCAGAGAAGTGACACAGCCCGCGAGTCGCGTGTGTGTCTGCGTCTTAGCGGGAAATTGGAGTTAAATTATGTCCAGACTTATAAACCGAATACGCAGCATGATCCATACGAAACGTCAGCCCAACAGAGACGAGACCTCTGATTCGGTTTCGGGCTCCAGTGTGTCCCAGTCCCAGTCTGTTAGAAGATTCCATTCCCTGCCACGTCGTCGTCGCCGTTGCAGTGGCAACTCCGCGGTGAGACGGTCCAGCAGCAGCCTCTGGGATCGCATGATGAACAATGTTTTCGGCACTGCCGACGATCAGGGGTATGCCGAGGATGATGGCACTCAGTACATTGATTCGGTAAATGGTTCGCGTTACGAGATATCAGGAGAAGTGAGTTGGACCCCTACAATCGGATTATTGGAGGATCTTTAGAGCTGATTGAATTAATCATTTAATCTTTAATATTTCATCACTTTTCTGTCTCTTTCGCAGGGCGAATACATCAAGCATCCCGTTCTGTACGAACTCAGTCATAAATATGGTTTCACAGAGAATCTGCCGGAGAGCTGCATGTCCATACGGCTCGAGGAGATCAAGGAGGCGATTCGTCGTGAGATCCGCAAGGAGCTGAAGATCAAAGAGGGCGCCGAGAAGTTGCGCGAGGTGGCCAAGGATCGGCGCTCACTCAGCGATGTGGCGGTGCTCGTGAAGAAGAGCAAAAGCAAATTGGCCGAGCTCAAGTCCGAGCTGCAGGAGCTCGAGAGTCAAATACTGCTAACGTCGGCCAACACGGCCGTCAACAGCAATGGACAAGGTGAGTGTTTTGATATTATGCGAGGCCATTGTGCAACATCTGCACCTCCCTCTCTCTGGCCCTTCCTGTGCGCATTTTTTCTATTTCGAAAATCCATTAACAAAATCACAAAAAAAACTTTCCCAAAGCGAGCGAGCGAGCGAGCGACAGTAAAAACTCACGCCACACATTTCCGTGCAACAAGTTTTCGGTTTTGTTTTAGGGCGTACTACAACGAGGCATGTACAGTGTTTTACCAATAAAACGAACGCGGGTAGGGCAAACAAAGTTTTAAGTACAGAAAAAACCGAAAATTTCAGTGGGATGTTGAGGAGAAGCGGTAGATGCACTGAAAAGGGAATGTGTAACTAGATTTTAAATCGATATTATTAAAGCAGTCTCTTAGCAGCGTATTTCGAGTAGAACAGCAGCATTTTCGTGGTCACGCACACGACATGCATGTTGTTTTTGCATGCCCGTTCATTCTCTTTTAAAGGTAAAGCAAACCCACTCAACAAACCTGCAGTACCCTTCCATTCGTAGCGTAAAAAGCACCATCAAAAAGACAAGTGTGTAAGCTGTCATAGCTGTTTGTTAGGGATGTGCTCAGTCTTCCATCGTTTACGAGCCTTTGTCACGCACTCGCCACTTGAGCCACTCACCTGTTGGCTGCTCTCTCTCTCTCTCTCTCTCTCTCTCTCTTCCCTCAGAAGAGATGTGATGCTCATTGATAGATATTCCGCCCCGCCCTGCCATAACTCTCTAACAAGCGACACCGAAATGGTTCTTTCTATTGTATGTTTGAGGCCAACTATTGACACAAGTGTCATGAGCTGCTGCTGCTGCTGCTGCTTCGTGCCTTTGTCGGTTTTTGCTTACAATTTCGAATGGAGACAGCTCCGGCATGCTATTTATTTATCTGCCGTTTTTGCTTCCGTGTTTGGGCTACAGAAATGAAGCTGAAAATGGAGCAGCACCAGCAGCAGCATTGTGTGGCGCCGGAGTTGGCTTGGCTACACGAGAAATGGTTGACGTTTGCCCTGGCAGCAGCTGCCAGCAGAGGGCTGCATATAAATGCCAACAGCATTAGAGCTGATTATGTGCGAATAACTACTATGCAGAACCCTGGGAGGAAGTGGGCAAATAAATCGGAAATTAAGGCAAGAAAAAACTATCCTTCCTCGCCTCAGTTGTCATAAAATGCCAAATGGAATGACAGAGTGACTGTACTTTCAAGGACTGCAACATGTTGACCTCGATTCGTTAGTATCCTTTATGCCTTAGTCATGCACACGACATGTATGCTGTTTTACCTGCTGCCTAGAATATTGCTCCTCCTTAACGTCTTATCACTTTTTCAAGCTACCCAAATGAGCCTTAATTGGTCATTCCTCAAAGATAAGAAACTCGTATCAGGGATTTTATTTGGGCCAACGATTGATCGCCATATCAGAAGTGCATAAAAGATGGCCATTAAGGCAGGTTCCATGGCAAAATGGAAGGAAAATCAGTGCCAGAATGTTTTTGTCTTTTCTCCAGCAATTCCAGCCAAACCTTGCATCCTCTTCCCTTTCGTTTCTTTCCAAAACTAATCACTCTCCTCTCTCCATTTATATCCCACAGAATCGATTCATGCCAGCATCGATCCCAATGGCGGGCTTATCATTGGCGGCGCCCTGGGCGGCGGTGTTGGTGGCGGCGGCAATGGACCCTCCACGGCCAATGACAAAGTTCTAACCTCGCTGGAGAAGCAGCTGCAGATCGAAATCAAAGTGAAGACGGGCGCGGAGAACATGATTCAGTCACTGGGCGCCGGCTGCGATAAGAAGCTGCTCGCGGAGGCCCACCAAATGCTGGCCGATTCGAGAGCCAAGATTGAGTTTCTGCGGCTGCGCATCATCAAGGTGAAACAGAACCGAGAGCAGGCCGATCGACTGAAGGCCACGCGCCTTCTGATGGACGACGGTCAGCCGCAGAGCCTGGAGACGACGCTGGAGGAGCGCATCTCGGAGCTGCGACATCGGCTGCACATCGAGGCGGCTGTCGTGGATGGAGCCAAGAATGTTATACGAACGCTGCAGACGGCGAATCGAGCGCCAGACAAGAAGGCGCTGCAGGAGGTGAGTGGCAGTACCCTCTACCCCCATCTGGGGCTGGGGGGAACTTAATCATGTGTCAGTCTAGTCCTAGAATTAATTAGAACTGGCCGTTGGCCAGGTAAGCGGAACGCGTCTCCTACGCTCAGGTGTGTGCCATATGGCCACACGGCGTATGATTCATATGCAAACGTATACGTATACGTGATTTCTGTCCACCAAACGAAAAGGAACGAGCAGCGAGAAACGAGAAACGAGGCTAATTATGCGGCTGTTTCTGTTCGTTTTTCGTTCGTTTTGGTTTTGGTTTTGGTTTTCATTTTCGAATTTCATTTTCTGTTTTGCCCTGCCCCCTGCCCTAACTGACGTCTCATTAATTTAATGGCCGTGGAATGTGTCGCATTTACTTGAAGGAATACGTAAATGATTCTGGCAAGTGTTGGCACACACAGGGACTGCCCTAATAATTTGGCGTAGGGTAGAAGTTTGCTTAGTTTTTGGGAGCAGTTTGTCAGCGAACTATTTTTGCTTGAATTTTCACTTAAAATTAAGCTTAAAGAGGGATTTTCTTGGCTTTGGATTGGCTTATTTGTTTTTGCCAATTTCTGTGAACCTACAAAAAAAAAGCCAAAGATGCGCTGAATAAATGTGATTCCCAGGAATTGTTTTTTAGAGCTCGACAAATGTATTCCTGGAAAACAGAGGCACGCACTCCGAGAGACATTTTCGTTACAGAATATTTGTATCTAATTTCACAATCCATTGAAAGATTTTTCTTTATTTTTTGTGGTTTGTTTCTCGTGGATTTCCCAATTTTCTATGTGCTCTGTGCGTTTCCTGTCGCGTGGCCCGCTGAGACATGAATCTCTTGGTGATTTATCTGCTGCTTGCTCTACACTCTCCACTCTCCACTTCCGTCATAGTTTGGATGGATTGTGGCCTAAATATTCTATTTGCAGGCAACATTCATTGCCCGGCCTCCGTGCTCATATTTATTTGTTTTGCGGCTGGAGTTGATCTCCCTGCCTGGGAGATTTCCATTTAGCTTTAACATATCTGCGTCTTATGCCCATGAAACGCACTGCCCATTGATCGATCCGATCCACCCTTGTCAGACGTTGTACCATTTGTTGATGGAACTCTGAAGTTTTTATTCGTTCAAGACGTCGTCTGCGAAATGATAAACAAATCGAGCGAAGAACTCAAATCTGCCTCTGCCCTTTGGGGTCCCAACATTTTTAGAACATAGAGAGAGACAGTGCGTGAGAGTGAGAGAGCGCGCGCTAGCCATAGTTGGTTGAGGGAAATATATATCTAAACATCTGTTTGATCGGGCCCCAAATCTCGTGCCCGAGCGAGCGCAAAAGTTCTCTGGCCAACAGCAGGCGGAAAATGTGAACAAAATCTCTTTGCTCTGGCGAATTTACCCAAGCAGCTTTTTCCGCTGTGCCGTTCAGTTCAAGTTGTGTTGCCGTTGCCGTTGGCGTTGCTGTTGCCTCTGACTCTGCCCCGGTTAGAGATTTTATTGGCCGCGCGTTCCGTGTTCCGTGTTCGTGCTCGTTTCAAACTCTATGAATAATGTAATAAAACAACAACAAAATAATTTGAAATCCATGGCAAGAGATCAAAGAAAAGTGCAGCCTCACACACACACGCACACACGCACACGCACAGAGAAAACAAAAGAAATGCAAGCCGCCGAGCCACACCTGATACTCCCAGCTCCACATTACGCATACGCAGCATATGCCGCTTGTACCTGCACAATTGCGTAATTCTTTGCTCTTACTCTGCTCGCGTTCGCCTCTCATCTTTTGAGGTGGAGGCTTTTGTTTTGGGGTCATCTTGCAATTGTTATAAATAAAAATCACATAAATTTAGACACACAAAATGTGTAAAATCGAAAGTGTTTTAGTTCCACACCTCGTTGGTGTCGCTGTTTGTGTGTGTGTGCGTCTAAAAATACATGAAAACATAAAGAATTAAATACAGTCAATGGTGTCCATGAAGGATAAGTGTGGCAAGTTGGAAAAAGCGTAAAAAAGTTGTCAAAAATTGTTATTAAAGAAAAGTAAAAGCCATGCGTTTGTTGGCTATAAATTTGTGTTTAAACTGTTGCCAAAAATAGGTAATATGAATAAATAATATCCTGGATATAGCATACATTTCGGACCCTTCCCGAGCATCCTTCATAGCCACTCTTGACTGTAAAAATCAAAGTGAAACATCAAATAATTTGAATTTGAATTCAGCTTGCGAGCACTATCAAACGGCTTCTCCTACAACATGTGTGTGTTATTTTTAGCAGCAGTTATAGGAATATAACAGATCGTGTGTGAATATATATTAAATCGGACACATATATCGTGTATGTGTGCGTGAGTGTGTCCATATGCGGCATGGCACCTTGAACAAACAATTATAAGAAAAAAGCGCAAACAAAAATGTTTTCTGGCCACAAAAGTGCGTAAGGCAGGGATGACCACGCCCACGGGTGGTGCCTCAGCTGCGCCACTGCCGCACGAGCTAACAGCCGAGTGGACCGTGCGCGCTCACCTGACCTTTGCCCGTGCCAGCGAGCCAGTGCATGGGGAGGGCAGCGCCACAGAGCAGCCTGCCGTGCAGCCTGCCGTGCATCCTGTTCATGTCGTCTACAAGTGGTGCACGCCCTGCGACGAGCAGGACTTGGACAAGGTGAGTGCCAGACAGCCAGCTATCCTCCAGGAACTCAATCCACATTCCACTCTGCAGACGGCCACCACTTTGGGCACCAGCTTCCGTTCGACCAACTCCTCGGCCACAACGACCAATGCGGATTCGGCCTTCGGCAGTCCACAGGCATCGCGAGCCCTGCCTGCGGGAGCAGCCACCACGCCAGGAGCCACCGCTCAAGTGTGCGGCACGCGTTGTCGCAGCACTTGCAACATTATGGTTTCCGCTGTGGCTGACTTCCTGCCACAGGAAGCGACGACTGCGGCAGCAGCGAATGAGCCTTTCGTCTATCACAACAAGGTGCGGGCACAACAGCTGCGCGATGCCTTCTCGCAGACAAGCGACCACGAGGAGTCGCAGCAGCAGCAGCAGCAGCAGTCGGTGGAGCCTCAGCAGCAGCGACGACGTGCCGCCTACGAGCAGCGTCGCGCGACCACCGAGGCGCTTGTGAATTTTGCCAGCAGGCGGCAGGCAGAGGAGGCGAACACTTATGTGGTAAGAGGAGGAATCCTTACCTCTGCTCTCCCTCTAATTGATTGATTTGTTCTGCAGCCAACCTACTCGCCCACGCCCACCACGCCCTCGTCCACATTCAAGTCGGCCTCGATGCCGAGGATAGCGCCACAGGCAGGAGGAACGTTGCCCAGGCTGCCGCCCAATTTGGGGGAGAAGAAACCGCGCACCGTGCACATCGATGTCTACTGCACGGGCTCCGAGGGGGATGAGGAGGCGGACGATGAGCAGCAGGCAGATGTGGAGATCTCCTCCAGCTCCAGCTCCAGCTCAGACTCGGATCTAGCGGGCAGCAAGCGCTACGATCTGGACTCGAATTCCACGCCGCAGACAGTGTTGGACAACGAGCAAATGTTGCTGCGGCATCAGCGAATCTCCGGAGGAGCCATGCCACGCCGCTTGGGGCAGCAAAAGGAGCAAAAGGAAAACCAGCAGCAGCAGATGAGCCTGGGCCATGCCATCACCAAATGCAGCACCGCCGAGGAGGTGACCGAATCGAAGCAGCTGCTCTTCCGCAAACACATTGGCGATCAGCGGGCAGCCAAGTTGGCCAACTTGCGACAGAAGTACATGCGACAGCCAAGCGATGACACCATCAGCAGCACCTACCCGAACTCCTCGCACTCGACCATGCCCAGGGATGCCACCTGCAGCAGCATCTCCAGCGTGGCAGCGGCCACCGATTGTGTGGACTCTTCGTGGAAGGAAACGGACGAGCCGGATCATCCGTTGGGCGTTGCCTTTGGCCTGGCCAAGTCGGATAGTTTTGATTATGAGAACTCGCTGGATCGCCTGCGCATTAGCCAGATGGAGCGGCTGTGGTCGCGTCAGCACTCGTTGGATTTTCCACAGAATGGAGGCAGCAACTTGACACACCAGCAGCTGCAGCAGCAACAGCCTCTTCATCAGCATTTGTCTCCCCATCAGCCTCCTCAGCATTTGCAGACCATCAAAGAGGTGCAGTCGCAGCGCAACTCCTTCCAGCGCAGCGACACGATCCCCTCCGAATCGGATGGCTTCTCCGACACGAACATTTTCAACACGTATCCGGGCAGGCAAATATCGCAGCTGCAGCAACGCAATCGTCCGGGGTTCCTGCAGTTCTTTGGACCCTCCATGGGTGCACCCGTCGCTGAGCAGCCCACGCCGCCAGTGACAGCACCCGTGCAGTCTGCTTCAGTGGCCAGTGCAGATCCGTTTCGATTGCTTCACCCAAGCTATCGGTGGAAGAGCGAGGCACGCGACAATCTCAGCGTGCAGCGACCCTCGGGATCGCCTTCGTCGGAGCGCAGTTCGCCGCAGCTGCTGTCGGCGGCCACCACTGTGGTACGCTGTGGCAGCGAGGCACCGCCCAGCACCACATCGGCCAGCACATTTGGCACCACAGTGGTGACACCCTCGCCGCTGCCCGGGCGTCGCTTTGACATCTCCCGCGACAGTCCGAGCGTGGCCAGTGAGGCGTCCACGGCCACCGTTTCGGGCTACACCCACGAGCATCTGGAGAAGACGCGACGCTTTGGCAATGTGGTGGCCATGCGCAAGCCAGGCCATCATGTCGGACCCACCAAGAACCCAAACTGTCAGTGCGAGAGCTGCCAACGTTGGCTGGCTGAACGTTTTCAGTTGCGCGGTCGAGCGTTTTCTTTGGGCGAGCGACCAGTGTTGCGAAGGCCGCAGTAGCAAGCATTTAGCACTTTGCCACCCCCCACATAAGTATCAATTAACCCATACTGCCCCTCAGTGGATTTCATTTTCTTTCGATTAAGTTTAAGCCGCGAAATGTTCCTCACACAAGAATGAATAAAACACAACAGAAATTGTGCGCTGAATCAGTTTATTGTTTAATGTTGTAATAAAGTCATCAAATAATAGTCTGTAGAATGGAAAATGTGTACTTTATTGGCTGTGGTTTTGCGTAAAACATGACAAAAACACTTAAAAAATTAACTAATTTCTAATCCGCTCTTTCCCTCTTCCTAGGCCTCTGGTCGCTTGTCGGAGTCAACACGGAAGCTGGATCTATTGCGCTATTCGCTGGATCTGCGGCGCCTCGAGCTGCCAGCGGACTCTCCGGCTGCCCAACAGCTCAAGGCGGAGCTGCAGATTTTGCAGCAGTCAACGTCGCCGGGGCCCGTCACCTACACATCGCTGCAGACGGGGCAGGGCGGAATGTTGGGTGGCAAACCGTATCAGTCGGTGTCGTCGCTGGGGCGCTGTGCCAGTGTCACGGGCAAGCTGGAGGTGCGGCTGATGGGCTGTCAGGATCTGCTGGAGGATGTGCCGGGGCGCTCGCGACGCGACAAGGACAACAGCTCCAGTCCCGGCGATCTGCGCAGCTTCGTCAAGGGTGTGACCTCGCGGAGCAGCTCCAAGAGCTACTCGGTGAAGGATGAGACCTCGCTGGAGATCATGGCTGCCATTAAGCTGGACAACATCACCGTGGGACAGACATCCTGGAAGCCTTGCTCTCAGCAGGCCTGGGATCAGCGTTTCTCCATCGATCTAGATCGCTCCCGCGAGCTCGAGATTGGAGTCTTTTGGCGCGACTGGCGCTCCCTGTGCGCCGTAAAGGTGTTGCGCCTCGAGGAGTTCATCGACGATGTGCGCCACGGCATGGCGCTGCAGCTGGAGCCGCAGGGTTTGCTCTTCGCCGAGATTAAGTTTCTCAATCCGATGATATCGCAGAAGCCCAAGCTGCGCCGCCAGCGCATGATCTTCAACAGGCAGCAGGCGAAGAATATCCCACGGGCCAAGCAGATGAACATCAATGTGGCCACCTGGGGTCGCCTGCTCAAGCGGAATGCCCCGAACCATGTGCACATGGGCTCGAGCGACGTCACAGGCGCAACGGCTGGCTCTGCCCTGGCCACGGGCCGCGACTCGGAGTCGCCCATTTCGCGCACGCCCTCGTCGGATGCGCTGGTGGAGCCTGAGCCGTATACGCCAGGCGAGCAGGCTCAGAATCTGGAGTTCAATCCGGATGCGGGCATGCACGAGCACGTGGAGACGCCCGGCGAGTACCCGGATCCAGCGGCCAGCGGTTTGAGTGGCATGCGGCCACTCTCCATGCACATGCAGGGCATCAGCGTTCTGCCACCCGACTCACCGCCAGTGTCCGCCGCCGCAGCAGCCGCTGCTGGCAGACCCAATTCGCTCATCATACAGATGCCGCCGCAGGCAGGAGGCGCCAAGGTGCCAGCAGTCATCGGTGGACGCACCGCAGCGCCCACAACGGCGCCACCGCCGCCGCCTTTGCTCAAGTCAACGGCCAACACGCCGGTGCTGGACCAGGAGGTGAGTTCGATCCAGAGTTTATACAGGCCCCTCCCTAAACAGTTTACCTCCTCTACCTGCTCATGTATAAAGATATTTCATGTAAATATTTAAAGCTGTGTTCCCGTAGCTGGTTTGATCGTTGTGCCTGCCACATGCCATTGCCACTTGCCACTTGCCATCTCCTTTTGCTTCACTCCTATCTCATGTACATACTTCACCCATCCACAACCCACACACATTTGTAATCTGTACAGTTATCGCATCATTATCCTCTCCTTGGTGTTGGCTTTTGTATTATTGATTGTACATAAATGCATACATATTTACACACATTTGTACATAAATACATCGTTGATCATACATGTAAGCCTTGACCATATGTGTGTGAAGTATTTGGAATGGAGAAGGATGCCAACCTCCATGCAGAAGGATCCAACCATGCAGATGTTGGGCTTGGAAATTGATCGAAAATTACATAAACAATCTGCTGGGAATATGCCAACACTGCCAAAGGGAAGCCCGTATGACACTAGCTTATCATTGCCACTGAGCGCTGTATGACACTAACTTCGCATTAGCCCCGATCATCTATTGTGGAATAAATTGTTTTTACATTTCTTAACAAGTTGTGTTGATCCGTTAAAAAGCTGCAGCAAATGTAAGTTAGTGTCATACGGGCATTAGAGTGAACATTAAGCTGCCGTTTTCCCCCCCTCTTTATGCCACTCATTCTTCACCTACATCCAACATCATCATCATTCCATTCCCTTCTCGCTCTTGGATTTCTCTCTCTGTCTCTCACTCACTCTATCTCCCTCTGTGCGAAAGAAGCTTTCTTACTCGCTTTCTATCCAAATCTTTCTCTCATTCTCTGTCTCTCTCTTTTGTGCTTTGCGCTGTCCTTCCTTTCTCCGCCTCTCTGTGTGTCCCTGAGCGACTGTCTCTGTTGCCCGTCTCCCGCCTACCGTCATCCGTCTGTCATGATCTCCGTTAATCGCCGACAGCTGCAGGATGTCTTGCACGAATTTGATTTCCTCTCCGACATGGACTCGCGTCCAACCACGCTGCGGCGCCTGCTGAAAGAGCGGGACATGGAGCAGCTGGAGCTGGACCAGGAGGCGCTCGAGAGCATTTTGCTGCAGCAGCAGCAGTCCGAGCAGCAGGCACTGCACCAGAGGCAGCTGCAGGAGCAGCAGAGGCTCCAGCACTTCCAGGAGGCACAGCGTCTGGCCATCCTCGAGCTGTGCGAGCACCTGGGAAGGAAGTGCCAGTTGGACGAGTTGGAAGGGTTGGATACGGAGCAGCAGCAGGAGCAACAAGATCAGTCCAGACAGAAGGAGAAGCAGCTCATGATCGAGCGGTCCAAACAGCTTCAGAGTCAGCCACCGTCACCGCCAACGCCTCCTCTTCCTCCTCCACCGCCGCAGTCGCAGCCATCTACCCAGACCCCGCTCTTGCGCTCGCTACCGCTCTCGATCTCGCCAGTTAGCCGTCCAGTCACCTATCCCTGCCCCAGCCACAGCCAAAGTCCACTCGCTGTCATGCCACCAACAAACCAATTTCAGTTGCAGCACGATCCCGCCCAGACCCAGTCCAGCAATCGCTTTGGTGCCGCCGTCGAGGATCTGTCACGGCCATCGGCAGTGGAGCAGCAGCTGCACCGTCCGGTGCTCACCCTGCCGCCGGTGGTGCTGCTGGGCGGCCGGGAGGAGGACAGATCGGTGCCGCCCTCGCCCCTGGTCGAGTATCCCGAGGACGATGACGAGTATCTGTACAGGGCCGATGGCGGCAGGGGCAGCCAACATCTGCTGCTGCAGTCCAGCCACAGTTCCAGTGCGGGCGATCGTTTCTGTGTGGAGGTTAGGAGGTTTTTTCATTTGATTCTTTTTGTTTTGCTTTTGGTTTGGAATTTTTGCCTTGGTTTTTTTGTGTATTGGTTGGCAATCGAATTTATTTAATATTATTCACTAATACCGCAAAAAAGCCTTTTCGGTTTCTTACATTTATTCGTTTATACACGATTTTTGTTGGGTTTTTGTTAATGTTACTGTTATCGTTATCGTTTATCTTTGCCGTTATCGATTGCAGCATTGAATGGAATGAAATATCAGCGATAAAATTGCAGAAACTGTCCCTAAACCATTCATTAAACATAATCATGCACACGACAAACACAAAATCACACTCACATTTGTTTCAATTGAACCTAACAACGCGTTTAACAGCACTGCTTTGTGGTGTTAACAGTAGCTCATAGTGTTAGATAACATTTTAAACTAACAGTTAAGCCACCTGTAGACACGTAACTCCGTGTGAAACTTCCTCTTTAAACCTAACTTTGATGCTAACCTAATTTAAAAATTAAATTGTTTAATTACGTCCCCGAAAACGACTTGAGAGCTCTGTAGAAAATGTATGAAAAATACTCTTGTACGTAATCCCAGCGATTAGATATCTAAAAAGTGACAAAAGTGATCCGAAAGCTTTTTAAATAGAAACGAAAAGATCACAGGGAAAAGGCGAAGAGCCGCGAAAGTGCGGCACGTGCCAAAAGGCGAGCACCCCAGCACCTCCACTCACACGACATTAATTTTCCACCGTCAACGTTCCTCGAATTTTCCATTTCATTTAAGATGTTTACCACCTACCACCTACCACCTACATCTTGTCTTTCTGTGTCTTTCTGTGTGTCTCCCATCTATGTACTCATCTATGTACCGCGCGAGCTGTTGTCACAATTTTCCCCAACGTCTTACGTAGCATTTTGGCCATTTTTAGACGCAAAGAAGCGACGCAGAAGCGCCTAAAATGCTAAGCGACCATTTTGCCTGGCCTCTGGTCATGACTTTGGCACTTGTTTGCCTTCAGTTGCCAGTCGTTTCCCTCGCTGCTGTCACTGCTACTGCCCTCGGGGTATAGCCCGCTATCCGTTCGATTTCGTGGCCATGCCGTGGCGTCATGTTTGTGCCAGCATTTCATGCACTCGCGCAGGTCCTGAGGCAAATGTTTGCAGTGCAACTTCAGCAGGAGCAGCAGCATCATCATTCCCATTTTCATAGTCAGATTTGGCCCATCCGTCAGCTGTTAGCCACATCCGCACCAGCCATTTGTGATGCACCGTCTGCTGTATGTTTTGTGTGTCCCAGTCCCAGTTGCAGTCGTTGAGTATCGCAGCTCTTTGAACCCTCACAATCCTCTTGCAGGCGCATATCAGTCTCGTACATATCACACTCGAACCCATCGATGCGAGCTGCACCACCAGCTGCCTGATAGAGGAGGTGGCCGAGCCAGAGCCACAGCCGGAAACCAAGGCAGTGGCAGAGTCAGAATCCCAATCTGAGGCATACGTTGAGAGTGTGTTGCTCGAGACAGTTGTTGAAAAGAAAGAGGAGCAGCAGGAGCAGGTAAAAGTCAACAGAAACGTACAGGCAGACCATACCAGTCCCAGCAGAGCTCTCAAGTTGTGTCCCCCAGATCTAAACTTAACCAAAATATTACCAACCAAAGCGCTAACAATTCTTCTTTGCTGTCCCTCAGGTCATACCGCAGCTGGGCAAACTCTACGTGGGCAGCAACCAGCAGCAGCAGCAGCAGTATGGACAGCAGTCCTCGCCCATCATCCAGGAGCCACCGACTCCGACCATCTATGGCAACAGCGCGGCCGCTGGCGCACCACAATTCCCGCAGCCCACACAGCGCCAGGATAAGCTGATCCAGCCTGGACAGCAGCCCATCTATGCGAATCAGTACGAGCTGAATGTGGCCAAGGCAGCGGCTGCCGCCTCTGTGTACACGCCCACGACCAGCTCCTCGTCGACGAGCAACACCAGCAGCCAGCAGCCTGGGCAGGGGCAGGGGCAGGGGCAGCGCAAGAATGTGGCACGCGGCCTGCAGTTCCACGAGGGCAGCAGCCGCCTGGGCAAGCAACAGCCACCGCCCAATGCTGGCATGCTCTCCATGGACAACTTCCGACTGCTGAGCGTGCTGGGACGCGGACACTTTGGCAAGGTCATCCTGTCGCAGCTGCGCAGCAACAACCAGTACTATGCCATCAAGGCGCTCAAGAAGGGCGACATAATCGCACGCGATGAGGTGGAATCGCTGCTGAGCGAGAAGCGCATCTTCGAGGTGGCCAATGCCATGCGCCATCCGTTTTTAGTCAATTTATATTCGTGCTTCCAGACCGATGTAAGTGGCAGCGACAAGCAGCTGAAAGAGTTTTCCAATTCCTAATCCTGTTTCTTTGTTTCCCCCACAGCAACACGTTTGCTTTGTGATGGAGTACGCCGCCGGTGGGGATCTAATGATGCACATCCACACGGACGTGTTCCTGGAGCCGCGTGCCGTCTTCTATGCCGCATGCGTTGTGCTGGGACTGCAGTACCTGCACGAGAACAAGATCATCTATCGCGACCTGAAGCTGGATAACCTGCTGCTGGACACGGATGGCTATGTGAAGATTGCCGACTTTGGCCTGTGCAAGGAGGGCATGGGCTTTGGCGATCGCACGGGCACATTCTGCGGCACACCAGAGTTTCTGGCGCCCGAAGTGCTCACGGAGACGTCGTACACACGGGCCGTGGACTGGTGGGGTCTGGGCGTGCTCATCTTTGAGATGTTGGTGGGAGAGGTGAGTCCAGCAGCGAACTAGATGTCCTCTGTGAATGTTTAACTGATTGTGTTTCCCTTTCTGACAGTCACCTTTCCCTGGCGACGATGAGGAGGAGGTCTTCGATTCGATTGTGAATGATGAGGTGCGCTATCCGCGCTTCCTCTCACTCGAGGCCATAGCCGTGATGCGTAGGGTGAGTCATTCTCTCACTGGGTCTAGGAAAATCGATGCTTATTAGCTCAACAATTTTCACAGCTGCTGCGCAAGAATCCAGAGCGACGTTTGGGCTCCTCGGAGCGTGATGCGGAGGATGTCAAGAAGCAGGCGTTCTTCCGCTCCATTGTCTGGGATGATTTGCTGTTGCGTAAGGTCAAGCCACCGTTTGTGCCCACAATTGTAAGTCCATTGAGTGCTCAAAAAGTGTCATTCGATATATTTATTTGTGTTTAAATGTCTAACGTAGAACCACCTGGAAGATGTCTCGAACTTTGATGAGGAATTCACGTCGGAGAAGGCGCAGCTGACGCCACCAAAGGAGCCGCGTCACCTGTCCGAGGATGAGCAAGTGCTCTTCCAGGACTTTTCATACACGGCCGAATGGTGTTAGTGCGTCTCCAGTTAGTCCTTAATGGCTCACCCAATGGGCCTAGCCCGATCGTTAGCCCCTTTGCCCTTTGCTTTTAAAAGTGTACGAAGTTATTGCTAGCTTAAGTGAATGTGAGCGGAATATTTAAACAGCCAATGCCTCCAGATAATAACCCATACAGGACATATATAATTATATATCTACATAGAAACTATATATATATATATGTACATCTAACCATGTACTCATCGCGAGCCAGAGAGCTTCGCTTTGTGGGCAGAGCAAGAGCATTTTTTCGATCATCAGCATGTCAGCCCCTTCCATCAGCATGAACCATTTAACGCTTCTTTTAATTTCCCAACGCAAGAACGAGATAATATATTGAGAATAGTCTGACGAAACCCCCGAGGAGGAGAAAGGCCTTAAACGCAACGTTGTAGATTTTTTGGACAGAATTTTGTGTGGTGAGCCCCGGTTCCAAATAGATTTTAGAGATGCAAATTATATATACACCCAGGCTATTTTACAAGCGCCAACAATAGAACCGAGTGGAGTAGCATATTTTCATACAAAACATACAAGAACAAATTCAAGGATAAACCTAAACATAAATATATATAAATATATTTTATACTGCATGCATACATACAACAAACCCAGGAAAAATGTCTTGTTAAAAAAGGAGAGAAGAGCTCATCCTCCAAGCACAGTGTGTGAAAGTGGAGAGATAATACTTACAATTTTTAATGTGTAAACCCCTGTAAATTTATTCTTTGCTTCTTTTCGGAAATTCAACTCAGCCAATAAGGTCAGCCAAATTGACTATTTGAACGAGTTGTGTTATATTTTAAAGCTACTTTTTATTATTTAAATTCATTTACACACACACAAACACAAACACACACACATACACACACACAACGCCTATACATTTGTTATTTATTATTATTATTGTACTTTACAAGAAAACTGTATTGCTTTGAGCATTTTTAATTCAATGATACGAATGGATTTCAAACGATTTGATTGTATGCCTACAGAGAGAGAGAGAGAAAGAGAGTAAGAGAGATAACGGTACGCTTTAACAGAAAAACAACCCTTAATGCCGCTCTCTCCGATGGAGACCGAGTCTTTGCTCTCGCTGGGTGTGGAATACGATCGGATTGTGTTGTGTTTCGCTTAAGATCTATGCTAATTTTAAATTAATTTTTAAATTGTATTTAAGTTTTGTAATAATCGATTATGCAAGCATAGGCTAAGGCTATCATTATGTGAAAATAATTAACTGATACATACGAACACTGCACACCCCTCATGCAGATCAATATACATAGAAACACCAAGCAAAAGCAGAAGCAGTAGCAAACCTGATATGATTATGATTGCATTCGCAACTTGGAATATCGATTCATCAGCCCCATTCCCTTCCTCCTCCCCCCCCTCTAGCTGCCAAGTTGTGCGTGTCCTGTCTCTTATTTATGCAAACTATGATATGATTTTTGAAATAAAATGTATCTATCGCTATTGAATAAACGCAGTTTGGTGTCATCAAACAAGTTGGAAATTTGTATTTTTAATGCTTCACTTCACATGGTTGATCGTCGGACAGTCTGTAAACGATTGACTAAATAAAATATACATAAATCTTAAAATATATTGGGGGACAGCGTCTTCTATGATAGATTATATTAAACATATTTTAGAACTTCTTTTCACTGAATCCTTCAGTCACCTGGTAATACAATATATTGCCTGTATTATCCACTATGGCCAAAAATATGTTACTGCAAAATGAGAACAATGAAAATTAGTAATGGAAATCTTTAAACTATGGTCTTGGGTGCTCACTTTTTTCCAAATTTATCTTGCATTGCCTCAACCAGGCTGAAATGAATGCCCTTCGTATGAATCAAGGGTATGTAAGCCGCCTGTGTGTCCTCTTTGCGCAAGTAAAACACCTTCAAATCATCATCATAATGCGGCTGCAAGTGGCCACATCGCTCATCTAAAAGATAAATAATTATAGCAAACATTTATGGTAAAATTGTTCATCGATTTACCCCTTTTTAAGTCGTTGTAGACCTGCAGAGCCAGAGCTGCTGTCAAATCATCTGGGCATACATTTTGAAAATCCCTCAGTTGAAGCTGCAATGAACGTTTGAGAGTTACTGGACTGTGGAGGCTGAAATGCATCGACCTGAGATGTGCTTACCATGGCTGTAAAACTGTCGAATGCTTTTCTAGGTTCTTCTACGCCCACTCTGCCGTGGGAAAGCGCTTGCAAATGGAATATAATGAAGTACCGCAGCAGTGTCTTACTGAAGGAATGCTATGCGGGAACAGCTGAAGTACTCCACTAATGTTTCTACTTAACAATAATACGCGAAAGAACAAATTGCTGTTAGTAGGGATAGGCTGAACTGCACACTTTAATAGGTGCACATTCGAGTGCTTAGCAAATGGCACTTAAAAAAAAAAGATTTGCTACTTTAAGTGCTGCATTTGTTGCGCACTTTTTATTTAAACAATAAACAATTATTTTGCTTTACTTTCATTAAAATTTAGCAGCAGTGTGACCGCGGAATTATCGATAAATTATACCGCAAAGCCCTCAAAAATATATCAAAATATACATTCTCATTGTAAAAGCTTACCGTAAATATACTGTAATATATAATCATATTCCTCTGTTTTGATGTTCTATTTGATATTACTAGCTAACTAAGAGTCTCAGCGCTGAAACTATTATTTTATCCAATTTATCAATAAATTTTCCACAAGATTCGATAGTTTTCACAACTTTTTTTTGCTGGAATATTTATAAATTAAGTTTATAACTAAAAAGGTAGACCCACAGTCCAATATCGAGTCGATGGCAGAAAGCTTCTGTTAGCCGAACTGCGTTAACATTGCTGTTAAGCTAACATAAGCATAAGAAGTTGCTGCAAAGCGTTACACAGTTGGCGCTGCCTTTGAATTCGAATGCCCGGGAGCATAAAATTAGTTTAGGTACATTTCTAATGAAAACATTTAATGCTGTCATGTACAGTTATTTTTTGACGGTTTTTGATGGGCAACAAGTTCATGGTCTATTAAGCGCCTCATCAAAATATAATCTTTGTATGCAGACATTGTCTTTGGGTTTTGTCTAGACAAAAAGACAGGCCCTGTCTGCCACTTGGGCCCTTGACAGTAAAGTCCGCCCCAACTCCACGCATAGACAATGTAGACAAGGAACAAGGCAACAAATTATGCTAAGTAGATGCAGTTGGCCAAAGACGGAGGTGGCGGAGTATATGCATGGCAAGCAGTTCCCAAGGCATCTGGCAGGACCCTCCTCCCGCCCAGCGTCTGGCCAAGTGATAAGGGTTTGGCAGCAGCCTCAGCCGAAGGCTTACCCTCCCATATGCATGGGCATGTGCCTGCATATCAATGTATGTTTCGTCTGCGATAAGCAACTTTTTGCTGCTCCTCCGCAGACTCCTCCTATGCAGATTAGTTTTGCAGTTTGAAGTCGTTACTGTGGTTGGGCGGGCGGCTGCGGCATGGAGTTGGTAAAGCGGCGGGCTCAAGGTATTCAATTAGGATGTGCCCGGGAATCAATGCGTAGATGAAAAGATCCTGAGACCACAATGGCAGAGACCAGATGCTGCGGTCGATGGCTATTATGGAGCTTGTCAATGACAGGGACGACACACGGCGCACAGCGGGAGGCCACAGCTGACTTCCCCCAGCCAAGGCAATTACAGTGGCTACAACGGCAAACGACAGCAATTGAAACAGTTACACACACTCGTATAGCCATGTGTGCGTGTGTGAGTTGGGGTGGTGTTTGCTGGTTGCTTGCGGTTACTTAATGCTGTTTACGGTCCACAGTCCACAGTCCAGAGTCCAGAGTTTGTCCAGTGGGTGCGTGTGCCTCGTGCAGTTGGCCACAATATTATTTGCACTTGCTGCCTTGGCCCTCCACGTTTATCCCTGGGACGGAGCTCACGGCACGGCGCTGCACGGCATGGCTGGGCATGGCCATAACCATTCGCAGAGCTAAATGGCCAGTTGAAGCATTTATGGGCCACAACTAGTCGCTCTTCGTGGTGTGTGCTCGTGTTTTTGTGTGTGCGTTAAATTGCTTCATCTGCTTGGCTGGCCGGCTGACTGGCTTGTTGGCTTTAATTAAAAATACTTTCGCCTCGTAAAGTTCAAAGGTGAGCCCATATATGTATGCTATAAATTGTTTTTTTGCTCTCCCCTTCCCACTCGTTGGATGCTGTGGAACACCCCACGGAGAATGCAAATTGTTGTCTCTCGCTCTCCGCTGGGTGCCACTTAACATATTTGCCACATATTCGCACTGGCACGGTATTTGCCTTGCACCATTTTTTTTGCTGGACATTTGCATGCCGAAGCCGTGTGCTCTGGTGGGTAACGGAGGTGCCAGAGCTTGACATGGACACCCGCTCTCAGACCGCTTGGGGGGTAGACGCTGGGAGAATTTTAATTGAGCAACCGGCAACCGGCAACCGGCAGCCGGCAGCCGGCAATCAGCAACAGCGCCGCGGGGAGCAATGGAGATTTATTGGATCGACGTGTCATGTCTGTTGTGCTTTGGTTTTGCACACTTTCCCGCACTCTCCACTCTCCAGTCTCCAGTCTCCACTCTCCATGGACTGGATATTTGGTTTTGTAAGCAAGAAATTAAAGTTTTATTGCGGTCAGAGTGGTATTTGAATTGCTTCTCCACTTGTTCTCAATCCTTCCGGACTTCCTTCTTCATTCTTCATCTTTAGCAAAGTTTTCCAGCACTTATTCACGTCTTTTGCACAATTTTTGCCAGCGATTGGAGTTTTTCATCGCTTATTCTTCGACCTTTGAGTGCTTGTTAATTTTTATTTTCATTCTTTCTACATAACTGAGAAGTTTCCCCCAAAAAACTGTGGAATGTCATCAATGCGAATTATGTGCTGTACCCAAATTGAGGATTACATTCATCCATTCCATGCTGGGACAGACAGACATTGCTGTACGGATTTAACCGCACTTTGGCCGACTGGCGACTGTCGCTGATTAAATTTGTAGCCGCCTTCGTTAATGACAATTTAAGCGGACTAATGGCTTAATGGCCTTTTGGCCATCGTTGTGGCATTGAGTCAAAATGATTCTGCCGCATCATTGGCAATGCAATTAACTCAACGATTTTGGTTTATTTTGCCGCTTTTCCGGTTGTTTGTGCTTGTGTGCTGGTCGGTGTCCCTGGGTAATTAGGAGGCGGAGCGGACGACTTTCCTGCTAGTTTTTTCCGCTTGTCTGTTTATGTCTCTTAATGGCTCTTCCCTGACTGTGCGCGAAATTTCATTAAAACTCTATAATTGCATGACAAGACAAGATTTTCGCACTCATCGTGGCTGAGCGAGGGAGGGGAGGGAGTGGTCGGTGCAACTTTTGCGTTATCCCTTTCATGTTCACGCCGCAAGCTCTGGCAAATGGCGCGGAATGCAATTGATTTTCCAGCAATTGGTAATTGAAAGCTCTGCTGGAAAGATATGATTAGATTAGATTATGTCGAATGGCTTGATTTATTTTCTTGGATTCTTGGCTATATTTAGGAAATCAATTAGTATCCAAAGCGCATCAACTCTCGGATGATGGCTGAACTCTCCAACACACATCTCTCCGCCTCCAACTCTCCGCAAAGCCACAACACTCCAAGAGAAGCTTCAGCTGCGACGCAATTATGTACCACTTCCCTCTCTCTCTATCTCTCTCTCTCTCTCTTTTGTAGCCCTCACGCATCATTGCGGTGGTGCGTGCTCTCATTAGCTCACTGCTTTGATCCTCTCTCACAAACGCGAGCACAGCAATGTCATCAGAACAACTGTAAATTAAGCAAGCAGGCGAGATGCAATAGAAGGAGAAGAGCAAAATACACTGGGAGTATTATTTGCAACCCAATTGGAAATTCAAAGACAGCAAAGTAATTGCCCTGCATTAGGTATTAGGTATGCAATTACTACCTTGTTTATAATTAATTTTTGATTTACCCTCAGGGGCCAGCGATTGAGATGCACGAGCAGCCATCCAGCAATCAGTCATTTGACCAAGAAAAGCAATTAATTGCATTGATTCAAACATATGTAAGTTATTTATGCACACGAGTGCATCAGACTATCTGACATTTGTAATGCTAAAAGCAATGACAGGGGACACGGCCACAGATACGGATAAGTAAATTTCATTTACTGGGAAACCCTTGCCAAACATCTATTATTAGCCTTTGGCACGGACAAACTTCGGAGATACAAATCACAAAATGTGACATTACATGTTGCAATTTGAGGCTGCGGTGGCGTGCAAGCAAATTGAATCTTGCTGTTTGGTCTACAGGAGGCAGGAGGCACTTTCAGCCTGATGGAATATCAAAAGCATGCGAATCCTTTGAGTAGAAGTAGCTCAAGCAACTAAACACACAGGTAAATATGTATATGTAATGTATATATGTTTCTGGAATTATACAAAAGATAATGCTGATGCACAATTGGATTTTGCAGTTGAGCATGGGAAATGCAGCACACCAGTGCACAGCCAGGATTCATTTTCCACTCGAGTGGAGTTGAGCGGTTTTCGCATTTCAGCAAAATTTCAATGCGACAGACAACAAGGACTAAGCACTAGGCAGCAAGGGCAAGGGGATGTGGATGGGGACGTTTCCAGGACAATGGTCCGGGCCAGACAGCATTGTCACGGCTGCTGCTGTTGTCCACTTTGGCAGGACCTTAAACATCCCCATTGACTGACATTTATCACTGGGTGGGGCTCCACAACCGGAAGACTTTACAGCATTTGTTGGTTTTGCTGCTGTTGTTGCTAGGAGAATTCATTTGCGTAATTAGTGGCCAAGTGGTGGCATCCACAATGTAGCAGAGGCAGCAACCGCAAATCAGACCACAAGGTAAGTGCTTTGAAATCACCGCAACGTCTCTTGATTATTGGCACCAACCTCCTGCAGACAGGACAGGTCAGCAAAATTCATAGCACACTTCACTGCGGCAAGCGGATAGGAGTTCAGGCAGCAGGAAGGATGATGGTGCATCACAGCTTCAGCTCGATTCAGCTTGATTGTCATGGGATTCTATGGCATCCATTTCAATGGAAAGGTAACGACAACTTTGTTGAACAGAAATCGTCGTTACACACGCACTCGTAAATATTTTATGGCAGATGCTATTTTGGTACAAAGAAGCGACCATCTGATTTGCTTGGGAGAGGTACTTCGTCTGGCCATATTAGCTCACAACTGGACTGCCTTATCATGTCTGATGATTCGATGAATTTAAAGGGTAATTGAAAATCACTTCCACTGAAGCTTTACTCACTTTATTCCAGATCCAATTGAAATGTTTATTTCCGTCTTACAATCTTCTTCAAAGTTGTAATTGATTGCATTGATTGGAATCCATTGCTGCCTCCACGAACTCCTCCCTCCGAAGACGACTTAAGGCCGAGACCGAGGGCGTTCGGCTTGGATTAAAAGAGTGTAATTAAATTACCTTTTAAACTTGTAGCCAACTTAATCAGAGGGGAGGGCAAGTGGAAAACTTAATTTGAAGACGACCGACCACGTGCCGTAGAGAAGGAGGCACGGACATTCCCCATCGTCCCTGAGCTAAGCGCGTGCTACGTGTTAAATTACAAGGGCACGCACACCACCACAGGAACGAAAACACGGAAAAGCGAAAGGAGCAACAGCAGAACAGAGCAGAAGCAGCAGCAGCACAAGATAGAAAGGCAAGAGGCAAGTGGTAAGCAAAACATGGCAAATCAAAACAAAAACACACGATTTACCGGCAAAATGCACGTGACATCTGTGGGGAGTTTTCGTTCAATACACGAGACGCGATCATCCTTCGTCCAGTGACGAGTGCAACCCAACGAATCCATCCGAGCCGAAGCTGCGCAGAATCCAACGAGGGCTATAAAAGCGTCAGACAGACAGCATGCGACGCATTTGGTTGTCGACTGCTGCAAGGAAGTGTTCAAAGTTTAAACCGAAAAGTCCAAGTACCAGTGCGCACAGTGGAACTGAACAAACACAAGAGTGAAAGCAAAAGTGAAACTTTAAAGCCCCACAATACATGCATATATGTAGATGTTGGGGATGCATGTGTGAGGAGAGTGTTTATGCAAGTGTTTGACGTTGAGTTGGCCAAGTGGATTTCTATTTTAGTGCCATTGAACGAAGGCGGCAGCAGGCAACGTGCGAAGAAGGGCTGACTTTTGTTGCCTCTGTGCGTGTGTGTTTGTGTGTGGCACTAAATTCTGCTGTGACTGACTGCAGCTTGTGCACGCTTTAAAAGGCGGCTCAGCTCTGCACGGCACGACACATTGAGACATTTTGCTAAAGTGCTTAAAGGCATCTCAGTGTCAAGCGATAGACTGACAAGTGCATTGAGTGATTGAAACAACCCAAAGACAGGAAGAACGAGAAGAGACAGAGACGCTTGGCAAGTGCACTCTGATATTTGGTCACCTTGTAGAAGGTAGGAGGACCAGGAAGTGGGCAGCCCAGCCATGTGGAGCAGGCAGCGTATGCGCCATAAGCCGCTTTGGGCCCTAATATCCTTGACCGTTTTGCTGCTGGTCTTGGATAAAAGCAATGCCAACACGGAGACCGATGAGACCACCAGCACATCGGAGCCAGGTGAGCTTTAATTGGATGTACATATACACATATACATATGCACGGTTGTACAGGTGTGCGTGCAGTTTGACCTTCAGTTAGCAAGGAAAGAATGAAAACCCCAAAAACATAGATTATGACAGGCCTCAACTGGGCGCTCTGTCGATGTGCAGGTAGGCACTTTATTAAATGGGATTTCCATGCGATATTCACACACGCACGCACACAACGAACAGTCAAAGAACCGTAGGGAAAGGCCACAAACCGACCAGGAAGACCAGAAGCAGCAGCAGCAGCAACAGCAACAGAAGGGAAACAGAAACAGCAACACAGAGAAGAGAGAGTGGCGGAGAGTAGGAGATGAATGTGCAAAGCGCAAAAGCAAATAACTGGCAGCAAATGAAATATTTCACGGCATCTGCGGCACAAAGGCAATCAAAACGATGGCACAGCGCTCGTTCGGCCCAGGCCCAGGCCATGGCCATGGGCAGGCAGCCCTTAATCCCAATCAGAATCAACAAGCAAAGAGTATATGGAAGGGGGTTACAGCTAGAGAGAGGCGAAGAAAAAAACCCAATTGCACGAAAGCTCGTAATGAAGTATGGCCTGGATGTTGGCGAGGAGAGAGAGAGAGGCAGTGGCAGCGGCAGCGGCCTTGGGAGGCTGGATAATAGAAATTAATAGCGTCATGTGAGTCGTGCAGGAAGGGGAGAAGTAGCTACAAGGAGGGAATGCGTAACTGGGACGTTGGTGGCGGTTGCTGTTAATCGACCGACAAGACAGCCTCACACGCAATTTAGTGCCAAGGACCCAAAAGCGATGCGCATCAAGTAATTAATTCATTTCGACTTCCCCAGAACTGTACCCGCAAAAAGAGATTTGTGTTCCCTTTTAGCACACTGACAGTGGCGTCTCGTCTGTAGCTGCGTCGCAAATGTTTGAAACTTTTGCGACTTTCGTTTTGGCTGTGACGCAGTTGTTGCGTTTGACTTTTTGCGCGTCACCTTTTGGTGGCATGGTACGGGTACGGGTACGGGTACGGGTTCGCGTTGCACTTTCAATTTTAATTTTGGCAAATATTTACTCCGAATGTAACGAATGGAATTTCATTTAAATGACTTTCCAATAGGGAAAGAGAGAGAGAAAGAACCAATACGAGAGAGAGAGAGAGCAGAAGACATGGATGAAATATGCAATAACCGAAATAGAGACCAAAACGCCCTGCAGCTCCCATTCCCTGCCTGCCATTTCCTGGCTGGCACTACATATATGTATGTCCCATAAATTGTGGAGCATGCAGATGGATGATGATGTTGGCCGTGCAGCCAGTGGCGTGGCATCATGGTCACATGTGTCTGTGCGTGTCGCCGCTGCCTTTGCCGCTTAGAACAAAGCTGACTTTGCATTATGCATGCAAATGTGGGACCGCAAAAGGGAAAGGGGTGTGTGTAACGAAACTGTCAAAATCGCAGTTACAGCAAAAAGAAGAAGCCAATGACAGAGAAGAGGCAGCTAGCATGGAGCCAGCAGCAGCAGTTGAAGCCGTAAAACCAACTGACAAAAAGTCGCCATGACATTATGCAGTCCTTATATGAGTGCTAAAAGATAAAGATTACTCGACTTTGGTTTCTCTTCCTTCCATCTGCCATTTTCCATCTTATTCTATGCACAACAGCAGGCAAAGGATGGCTTTGGGGCGGAGCTCCCACTGAGATTTTATGCTGCAAAAGAAGTTGAAATGGAAATGGAAGTAGAAATATAATGGTAGCTCCTTCACTTCAGCTCGACTGTGCATGAATGAATGATTTATAGAGCAGTTGTCGAGATGCCAGGCAGAGACTTCAGGCAGTCAGAAATTTTGCTGATATCAGAGCCCGCACAAAATATGAATTTTAGTAACAGTTTTTATTGGCGACAAAACTACTTTCGTCCGACAAGCTTCACTCGAATATTGTTCTTGATGCGCAGTGTAATTCCCTTGTGAAAGACAATCGTCTTGGGATCGACCAGCGGCAGGATCTGGAATTTCTTAATTATAACAGTCATCAGGGTTTTCATCTCTTGCATGGCAAACTTTTGAGCTAAAAATTAGGAAATTGAAGTTCAGACTGGTCTTTCGATTATTTTTCCACTTACCAATGCAATTCCGTTGCCCGGCACTGAAGGGAATGTAGGCACAGATGGGACGGTTCTGGCTGTTCTCAGGAAGGAAACGCTCTGGGCGAAACTCATTTGGTGCATCCCAGTGCCTGGGATTGCGATGGATGTCGAAGGTGTGTATGTAGATCTGGGTGCTCCTGGGCAAGATGAGCCCATTGGCCAGCTCCGTCTCCTGCACTGTTTGCCGGGCTATCAGCGGAAAGGGAGGATACAGCCGCATTGTTTCCTTAATAAAGTATTCCAGGTACTTAAGCTTGCTCATCTGATTGATGTCCAGATTGCTAACATCATCTAGAAACGAGTAAAACATGAGAACGTGTGTTAGCTGAATCATCTCTCTGCCTACCCTGGATGTGTTGTTCAATTTCCTTGAAGCAGAGCTCCTGCTTGTCCGGATACAGCGCCATATTCATCAGGGTAAAGATGAGACTTATGGAGCTCACATCGTAGCCCTCGAACATCAGGGTGTCCACCTCCTCGCAAATGCCGGCATGATCGATCATTCCATCCTTCTCCGCACATATCAGGGTATCGAGCATAGCAAATCGTTTGTGTCTGCTGATAAAACTGTAAAGAAGAAAGAGACAAAAATACTTATCAGACATTACCTTAAGGAGAGATGAGATTCCCCTTACATATCATCATCAGCCGTCTGAGTGGATCTTCTGTAGTCCAGCTCCTTCTCGAGCAGTATCCGCCGCTTGGCAATGATCTCGCTGGAAAAGTCATGGGCCACTTTCAGGAACGGAGCATAATCCTTGGCCGCAAACAGATTGTAAATGGTGTTGCTCCTAAAAAAGGGATTGCTCAGGCGCCTGACGAAACTCTGATCAATCATGCGAAAGCTCTCCCGGTAGCGATCGCCCTTCTCGGCCATCTCATCCAGCTTCACGCCCATTGCAGTCTCTGAAAGAAGATATATTAGAGATGGTCGGAGATGATTTCCGACTTACCACAAATGCAGTTGAGAGTAAATCTGGGTATGAGTTCGCTCAAGGAGACGATGTTCTCGTCTTCATTTTGAAATTGCTGTACAAACTTTAGACTTTCCGCTCTAAAGAAGGGGATTAACGCGATAAGAGGCTGCCACATTAAAGTTGCTCTCAAGAGAACTCACCTGAAGATCTCCTGGAATTGTCCCAGTATATTGAAATGGAATGTGGGTGTCAGCATTCTGCGCCGTGCATGCCATTTGTCTCCTGTCGATGTGAGCAGACCCGTCTTCAGAGCTGGATGCAGAAAATTGTAGACTAGGCCTTTTGCTATCATCGATTTCTGGTCGGTCAGTATCATCTCGGCAGTTTGCGCATCGATGACGTTGTAACTGGGCATGCCAATGACATATCTGAGATAACTCTTGCCCAGAGACTTGGACAGGTCGCGCGTAACGTTGAAAAAGCCAGCTATTTGTGATAATAATTGATAAATTGATAGCCGAATCACAGCAATTAATGATAATAATTGATAAATTGATTGTTGATAGCCCACCGTTGTCTTTGCCGTACAGATCGAAGATGTTTGCAAAGATCGTTCTGCCCTTGGGCGAGGGCACTATGCTCTCCACCGGACGTCCATCTCTGGTGTACACACGACGCGAGAAGCAGGCCAGAATGTAGTAGTCTTTGTTGACCTGGTAGAGCCAGTGGACGAGCACGCACAGTGCCACCGTCAGCCACAAGGTAATCATAGTTCCGCTCCGTTAACGCACTCTTGGGCTTCCCTCACGAAACTGCGCTGCCGAGCGATTCATCCATTCAAATGCCATCGGCACTCGGCACCAAAGCTGATAAGATATGTACATGCGTTTGTGTGTGTGTGTCTGGGCGCGCAGTGACGCTGTCGGTTTTGTCAGCGCGCACTCAAATTAATTCAGATTAAACTGTGAAGAGCGAACACAATGCTGTGTGAACGGGTTGGAAGAGAGTTTGGGTAAATGTACCGTTTAGTCATTGGGCACATGGGCATATTGAATATACTATATTCTAAGGCTGGCTTGTAAACGCTGCATCGCGATGCATGTTACAAATGATCTCATACATAAATATGCACAAGCACAATGCTGCACTGAACAGCAAACTAATTTAGATATTTTCTCTATGTCATTTGCTCAGCTTTCAGCTTTGAGCTCTCTCTTTCTGCCCATTGTCTGATCAAAGCTGCAGAGTGTAAACAAAGCGTGCAGCCTCACACTGTGCGTGAAAGCTCCACGGGCAGAGTCACAACGAGAGCGAAAGCTCCGCGTGCAGCTGCAGCATTGTTTACAACCAGCTTAATATTATTTACTAGTTATGGTGCTAGGCTGATTATGAGTAAAGGCTTTCCACGACAAGGGGGTGTCAAAATGTCGAATAAATATAACTAATCCCTCTTTTGTTATTAGAAACAACAAAATCAAACAAACAAAAATAGCTAAACCTAGTTTCTTGCTTGTTTTTGGAGACTTGTGGAGACTTTCTTCATTGTTATAGATTTCTAGACTCGACTTTTGATCCCAATCGAGATAGATTCGTTTACAATAAGTTTGATTTATTAACTCAGTGCAGGCTTTCTTATGTACATATATAATGCTGATCAGCTGTTTTACTACTCTTATCCAAAGCCTATAACAAAGGCAAACTTCGCATCACTTTCGCCTCACAAGCTTCACTTTAATGTTGTTCTGTGTCCGCAGTGTAATTCCAATATTAAAAACTATTGTTTTGGGATCGATCTGTGGCAGAATTCGGAACTGCTTGAGTAGGACAACAATCAGAGTTTTCATCTCTTGCATGGCAAACTTTTGACCTAAGAGGAAGCAAAATTCAAACATTAGAGACACAAAAGGAAACCCTGCATGCTGTTCCTTACCAATACAATTCCGTTGACCCGCACTGAAGGGAATGTAAGCGTAGGTATGACGATTCTGGCAGTTCTCGGGCAGGAAACGCTCCGGGCGGAACTCATCTGGAGAGTCCCAGTACTTGGGATTGCGATGAACATCAAAGACGTGAATTGTGATTTGGGAGCGCTCGGGAAGGATGAGGCCATTGGCCAACTCTGTCTCCTGAGTAGCCTGACGAGCCATGATCGGAACGGAAGGGAACAGTCGCATGGTCTCCTTGATAAAGTATTCCAAGTACTTCAGCTTGCCGAGTTGATTGAGGTCCAGATTGTCAAAGTTGTCTGAAATAGGAAGGAAATTGTAACGGAGTTTTCTCTAGATATCACAGTTCTTACCATCAATGTGCTCTTCGATCTCCTTGAAGCAGAGTTCCTGCTTTTCGGGATACAGGGACATGTTCATCAGGCTGAAGATCAGACCGATAGATGTAGTGTCGAATCCCTCAAACATCAAAGTGTCCACCTCCTCGCAAATACCAGCATGATCGATGAGGCCATCCTTTTCGGCACAAATCAGCGTGTCCAGCATTGCAAAACGTTTCTTTCTGCTCACGAAACTGTGGAGCAAATAGGGAGACAGATGAGTACCAGGGATCCTCCCCATGATAAGATTCACTCACATATCATCATCTGCTGTCTGCGTAGCTTTCCTCTGTTCCAGTTCATCCTCCAGAAGAATTCTCCGTTTGGCAATAATCTCGCTGGAAAAGCCGTGGACAACTTGGAGGAACGAATCGTATGTCTTGGCCGCAAACCAATTGTATATTGTTTTGTTCCACAGGAGAGGATTACTCATGCGACGGATAAAACTCATTTCGATCATGTGAATGCCCGCGCGGTATTTGTCACCCTTCTCGGCCATTTCATCCAGCTTCACGCCCATTGCAGTCTCTGGAGGAAGAGAGAGTGATTAGCCAATGCCTTCAATATATTTATTTTACTCACCACAAATGCTGTTCAGAGTAAATCTGGGAATAAGATCGCTCAGGGAGACGATGCTTTCGTCTTGGTTTTGGAATTGCTTCACAAACTTGAGACTTTCCGCTCTATGGAAACGGAGGGGAGGGTTAAAATAATTGAAAGAACTCTTAAAAGAACTCACCTGAAGATCTCCTGGAACTGTCCCAATATGTTGAAATGGAATGTGGGTGTCAGCATCTTGCGACGGGCGTGCCATTTCTTTTCTGTGGATGTCAGGAGGCCAGTTCTCAGTGCCGGTTGCAGAAAATCGTATACCAGGCCCTTGGTTATCAGCTTCGGATGATTGAGTACATTTTCGGCGTTCTCCGCATCGATAATGTTAAGTGCGGGCACCCCCATGCTGTATTCCAAGTAGCTTGCACCCATTCTCTTGAACAACTCTCGGGAGTAGCTAAAAATGCCGGCTGTTGGAGTGAAAATCATTGACAGAGAGCGAGTGTGATGAGAGATTAGTAATGAGGTAAGCGAAGAGTGCTCAAGTCTGTCGTGTGTCTGCCTCACCATGATCTTTCCCGTACAAATCGAAGCAATTGGCGAAGATTGTGCGACCTTTGGGCACGGGCACAATGCTCTCCACGGGTCTGCCATCCTTCGTGCGGACTCGCTTGCAGAAGAAGGCCATTATATAGTAGTCCTTGTTGACCCGATAGAGCCACAGCACGAGGACACATAGTGCCACAGTTAGTAGTAGGGCAATCATAGCTTCAATCAACCGCTCTGATGGACTTCTCGCCAGAAACTGCGACTCCGAGCGATTCCATCTAACCGAGAGGTCTTTCGACTTATGCCCCCTGTGTTTTCGGTCAGAACTACAACAAAAAGACAAACGAGCTGATAAGAATGAAGTCTTTTATTAAAAACTATGTACAGATGTTTGTACATATGTACGACTATGTATGATAATGTCAGTTTCGTTTACACACGGTGAGTCGGCGCTTTTTATCTCGTAATTCGTACATGCAATTGGGATTTAATTGCCCAGAACTTGTTATTCTACTACAAATGGTTATAATAAAATAATTGGTGGAACAATTTGTGCTACACGGTGTAGTTGTAGTTGCCATGATACATGATACATGGATGTATTTATGTAGATACGTGATTATGATGAATGGAAATGTAAACAATGTTCAGGATAAACAATTAACAATAATGCACTCCAAATAAATGTGGGTATCAGGAAGTCGAATAATCTAAACGTTACTCCCCCACTTATTTCTGTATAAACAAAAACATGAAACAAAATCAAGTATAACTTGTTCTGCCGATAGGTAACTCTGCCACAGACGCGTCGTAGAACATTTCTGTATAGGTTAATAGGCCAAACGACATTGATTTTGTTTATATTAAGACACATTGCAGTCGTAGAAGTATCTTACGTTTATTTCCAATCCGGTTTAATAACAGCTAGTTATAATTCTAAGTTTCTAACTTAGGTCAAAACCTAAAAATATTATTCACTTTCGCCTCACAAGCTTCACTTTAATGTTGTTCTGTGTCCGCAGTGTAATTCCAATATTAAAAACTATTGTTTTGGGATCGATCTGTGGCAGAATTCGGAACTGCTTGAGTAGGACAACAATCAGAGTTTTCATCTCTTGCATGGCAAACTTTTGACCTAAAAGAAGGAAATATTTAATTATTAAAATGGCCAGAGTAGGAGCAACTCCCAAAGTGCCTTACCAATACAATTCCGTTGGCCCGCACTGAAGGGAATGTAAGCGTAGGTATGACGATTCTGGCAGTTCTCGGGCAAGAAACGCTCCGGGCGGAACTCATCTGGAGAGTCCCAGTACTTGGGATTGCGATGAACATCAAAGACGTGAATTGTGATTTGGGAGCGCTCGGGAAGGATGAGGCCATTGGCCAGCTCCGTCTCCTGAGTAGTCTGACGAGCCATGATTGGAACGGAGGGGAACAGCCTCATTGTTTCCTTAATAAAGTATTCCAGGTACTTCAGTTTGTTTAGCTGATTGTTGTCCAGATTGTCAAAGTTGTCTGAAAGGGGGAGAGAGACGTAAGAGAGTTAACTTTACAGATTGATCTGCCTACCGTCTATGTGCTCTTCGATCTCCTTGAAGCACAGCTCCTGCTTGTCGGGATACAGGGACATGTTCATCAGGCTGAAGATTAAACCAATGGAAGTGGTGTCGTATCCCTCAAACATCAGAGTGTCCACCTCCTCGCATATCCCAGCATGATCGATGAGGCCATCCTTCTCGGCACAAATCAAGGTGTCCAGCATTGCAAAACGCTTCTTCCTGGTCACAAAACTATGACAGAAATAGAGAGATAATAAAAGAAACTCCCCTAATCTTGCGATGGACTCACATGTCATCATCTGCCGTCTGCGTAGCTCTCCTATGTTCCAGTTCCTCTTCCAGGAGTATTCTCCGTTTGGCAATAATCTCGCTGGAAAAGCCGTGGACCACTTGGAGGAACGAATCGTATGTCTTGGCAGCAAACCAATTGTATATTGTTTTGTTCCACAGGAGGGGATTACTCAAGCGACGGATAAAACTCATTTCGATCATGTGAATGCCCGCGCGGTATTTGTCACCCTTCTCGGCCATTTCATCCAGCTTCACGCCCATTGCAGTCTCTGGAGGAAGAGAGAGTGATTAGCCAATGCCTTCAATATATTTATTTTACTCACCGCAAATGCTGTTCAGAGTAAATCTGGGAATAAGATCGCTCAGGGAGACGATGCTCTCGTCTTGGTCTTGAAATTGCTGCACAAACTTGAGACTTTCCGTTCTGTCGAAGGTGATTAATTAGATGAGCGGATAGGGAAGATACCTCTCAAGAGAACTCACCTAAAGATCTCCTGGAACTGTCCTAGTATGTTGAAATGGAATGTGGGTGTCAGCATCTTGCGACGGGAGTGCCATTTCTTTTCTGTAAAGGAGTGAGGATTAGTTTAGGAATTATTTCATTGTGGATCATCTAACCTGTGGATGTCAGGAGGCCAGTTCTCAGTGCCGGCTGCAGAAAGTCGTACACCATTCCCTTGGTTATAAGCTTTGGATGATTGAGTACATTCTCGGCGGTCTCCGCATCGATAATGTTGAGTATAGGCACCCCCATGCCATACTGCAGAAAGCTTTCGCCCATTCTCTTGGACAGCTCGCGAGAGTAGCTGAACACGCCAGCTGTTTACGAAAGAGTGTGGAAAAGGGACAGTGTGATGAGATTATCTCGCGCTCTCTTGAGCATGTCTCACCGTGATCTTTCCCGTACATATCGAAGCAATTGGCGAAGATTGTGCGACCTTTGGGCACGGGCACAATGCTCTCCACGGGTCTGCCATCCTTCGTGCGGACTCGCCGCGAGAAAAAGGCCATTATATAGTAGTCCTTGTTGACCCGATAGAGCCAGTGCACGACCACAGCCAGGGCCACAGTCAGCCACAAGACGACAATCATATTTCCAGAACCTCCGAGCGCCTCGGCTTCTCACACGAAACTGAGAGACAACGTCGCTGCCGTCGAGCGGCTGCATAAAACATTAATAAAAACAGCAACAAATACATTTGTATGTCGTAGAACGTAAAGTGATTAAATTGTGTTGTGTGCGAGTGTATGTACGTACATCATGGTGCATGATTTCATGCTTGACTGGCTGCGTTCGATCATTCTTATGGAATACTCTTTGTTGATATCTTATCAACTTTTCATAACAGTTTAAACCAAAAGTGTTTAAAAGTCAATTTTAGTTGTCTGCCAAGGCAGTTAAAGTTTTTCACTTATCGATTATAGTTGCTAATCAACAAAGTGGCTTTTTCTGCTGCATATCTGTACATATTTACACACATTTATACATACTTATTTACATTTCTTCGCCCTGTCAGCTGCATTTTGCATTTGCATTGGCAGCTAATTGGCAATTGAATTTTGCAGCAATAACGATGGAAACTGTTGCAAATCGAATTTCTCCTCCCCGCTGCTCCACTGTGTGTTTTGACCCACTTTTCTGTTGATGAAATTCAAGAAATTACCACATAAATACATGAAAAAAATCGAGCGAAAGTGAAGGCAAGAGACTCTAGAAAATATTGCCGTTAGTTTTTGCATCCGACTTCATCCACTCAGCTCAGGCTGTGCCAAGGTGTATTTAATTGCAAGGTGACGCCTTCACCTCAGTGGAGTCGAATTCTCCATCTCTTTCCACTCGCTGGAAGTGGCCTCTCTGCGCGTGGTGAATACAGCTGCGGGCAACGTCACCTTAGCAAATTCACCTTGGGCTGTGTCTCACTCTCTCTCTCTCACTCTGTTCCCACCCCCCTGATTACATGCTCAGTGCTCTGCTCGCATGCCAAATGCATATTGGAAATTTGCAATTTCGATTGCACTTCAAAGTCTGTCGCAAGTTGAAGGAAAAGTCGAAGCTGAAGTCGAAGCTGAAGTCGTAGGAAAAGTCGCAGGCAAAGTCGAAGACGAATGGGAAATCGTATGGGAAGTCCTGAAGCCCTAAAGTGGAAGCCAAGTTATTAAATTAGATCACACATGAAATATTCATCGCAAAAGTTCTTTGGCAGTCAAGTGGCTCCCCTGCTCCAAAGCCCGCTCTTAACTCTCTCTTCCTCTCTTTTGCAGATGCCTCTCCTGGCTGCCGTGCGCCGGATGTTCGCTTCACAATTGTCAAGCCGGATGAGACGACGGAGCAGCCGTATGCCAAGTTTGAGACGACACAGGTCTACCTGCCGGAGGATTTCACCACGGCCGATGTGGAATTTGTCGACTCGGTGGCTGGGCGCAATCCCAGCGAGAACCACGCGGCCATTGTGAATCCCTACTCGCTGGATCTGGGCGATGAGCATCTGCATGTGGGCGATGCAGCGGCCAGTTTGGTGGACGATGATGAGCTGGACGACGACGATGAGGAGCCGGGCACGGGCACGGAGGAGGGCAAGAAGCGCATAAACAACAATCGCAAGCAGGGCAAGAAGCGTCGCTCCGGCTCCGGGCGACGTCGTCGCATCGAGAATGACAACGGGCAGACGGGCAGGGGCAGGGGCAGTCGCTACAAGCGGCATGCCATACTCCATGATGCAGATGCCTCCGCAGACACGGATCGTTGGGCAGGCAGCAAGCTGGCCGCGGAGGGAGATGTCTACTATGTGCACATTGCCGACATCCTGAAGAGCCGCGAACCGAATCGGGCGCTGCGCTCCAAGCTGCACAAGCTCAAGCAGAAGGCCAAGATGAGGAAGTGCCTGGCGGAGGGCAACAAGGAGCAGTGTGCCAAGCTCAAGACAAAGAAGAAGAAGGCAGAGAAACCCAAGAAAGCGGAGGAGGAGGAGGAGGAGCAGAAGCAGAAGCAGCTGCCTGAAGCAGAGCCAAAGGAGGAACAGCAGCAGCCGCTGCAAGTGGAGCTGGAGCCGGCCGCCAGCCATCATCGCCGACGCGGTGACAGTCACGATGCAGAGCTCGACCAGCGTGACCTGAATCCGCGTTGGCGCAACCGTCGCAGCATCGACGCTGCCAAGGGTGATCTTGGTGAGCAGACGGAGCTGGAGCTGGAGCAACAGCAACAGCAAGAACAACTTCGCTACGTGAATCAGTCGAGCAGTGCAGCAGTGGCCCTGCAACGTGTAAAGCGCAAGTCGGGCAAGACCACGGGTGCACTGAGCCGTCCGAAAGGTGGTGGCGACTCCAGTTCGAAGACCACCAGTCGCAAGGACAAGGGTGAGTGTGTGTGCGCCCACATAGCGGCCAGACACTGGCAATGCCACAGTGCCCAATGCTTACTAAAGAATTTGCCGCCGCCTGTCGCTGTCTCGTTGTCTGTCTGTCCGTCTGTGTTGTGCCCCAAACAAATATTTATTTATTTATCCACCAAATCGATGCAGATCGATGCGATGGAAACACCAACAAAAACACACAAAGAGCAACATATAGTTCGAGTCTTTGGCATACGTCCAAAGGCCACTTGATGTCCTTGCAAAAATTCTTATGTAGTTCTGGAAGGGCCAGAGAAAATGTCTTGAATTTGGGTTTGCTTGTGGTCCGATTTGGATGAAATATCCTACAAATATGCTCTATACATCTAAGCAAAACGTAAAGTTTCCATGACTGAAACAGAAATATTTTCCTTACCATTAAAGTCCATTAAAATGTGCAGTTTGACCGCCTCCGAAACTCTCTATTTGCAAGGGCATTAAAAGCCACACACACACATATGTACACACACCACACACATACACCACACACATTGAAAAACGGAAGTTTGGAAAGTTGTTGAACGACACACATACTCGAAACATACTCGTAAAAAGCTAATCGCAGTCGCACAGAACCACAGCCACATTGCCATCATCTCCATAGCTCATCATGCCGCAGCCCCAATCCTCCAAACCAGCAAATCCTCCCTCCCAACTGCTTAACACCTTCCTGACACAGTCACCCCTCTGAATCACCCTCTCTGATGGCTACCCCTTTTTAGCTTTTCATTAACGCCTCCCCTTTGGACACCGCCTGCCCCCTGACCACGCTTTATTCATGCTTTATTTGCTCTCTCCCCTCTCGATCTATATCTTTGTCGTGGTTTGCCGTGCAGACCTGTCCTGTCCTGGGACTTTACTTTGTTGGATGGCTGCCCCGTTCCGGACCTTTGTTACTCTGCTGCAATCCTGCTCAATGATTTTTCCCTTTGTGCTGCTGCTGCTGCTGCTGCCGCTCCTGTGCCTTGTGGCCATTGTTGCGGCGTGGGTGCTGGCCAGATTCTCGCTCAGTGCAGAACCCGTACTCTGTCGCTTTTTCTCTTTATTCCATCTTTATTTTTTATGTTTTTTGTGCTTTCTGTTAGCTGGCCTGCCATCTCCTCCCCCCATTCGCTGGCATAATATTATCCTTCGTGTTATCTTTGCCTTTTCACTTCTGAAGCTCCCTTTCTCGGAGCTCTTTTTGATGGTTTGCTTAGAAATGAAGTTGTATCCTGTTAAGTGGCCACTCCGCCACTCCTGCCCCTGCCCCCCTTACTTATGGTTTTCTTTTAATGCATATCTGAGCAGTCAGCCCCAGCCACAGACCCATTGAAAATGTTCAGTTGGGAGCACTTTTCGCACGTTTCGTGGCGTTCTCAATGGTTTAATGTGTGCGTGTGGCGGACTCTCAAGTGGGGTAGCATTCCTTTTTCGAGTGCTTGGGTCAACCATCAACTCGTTGACACTTTCGGATAGGATCAACCGACATTTTCAGCTCCCCTCTTCAGCCTTTAAGCATTCACATTTATTCATCCGCTCATAGCCGCATCCCGCATCCACATACCGCATCTCTCATCCCGCGCTTGACAGCTCATTAGATGCTTGCTCTATTTGCCCCTCTCAATGTCTATCTACCCCCCGTTTCTTGGCATGTTACATTGCCCATCTCATAACGCCCACACCGTCTGCTCTTCTCGTCTCTCTCTCGTCTCCCCCTAAACTCTCCACCATTCAGGCATCTACGACGAGGAGGCCGGCTACTCGCCCGTCCATCCCGACGAGGAATTCGACGAGGACGAGGAGGAGGAGGAAGAGGTGGACATACTGCAGCAGTTTACCGAAGTCTCCGAGATCCGTTTCCCAGGCGAGATTGGACCCATGGGCGATCGTCGTCTATGCAAGATACGCTGTGTCAAGGGCAAGTGGGTGGGACCGCTGTGCGCCACCAATGAGGAGGGTAAGTGAGCAAAACACCAAAAAACACAGAAAAACAAAATGCACCAAGTAACCACACACACACACACACACACACACACTAGATACAATTACATTTAGCAATAGATACAGTTGCAGTCTTGCAGTTATGTTTATGTCAAAAGAGAAACAATTTCGATATCATTTATGCAAAATACACACACACGAAGCCAACACGATTGTTGTTTCATTTGTCGCCGCCACTTAATGTTCTACCCACAAACCCCTTTCCCCTCCACCACAACTACAATCCCAACAGATGATAACGGGAATGTGAAGTTTCAGCCCCTGTACAAGAGCTGCCACGTGAATCGGATACCACCGCATTTGCTGCTCAGCTATCGGAACATCTCAGTGGTAAGTGAACGACGAGCCGAGCACAAACGCAACCACAATCCACCTCCACCACCGCTACAGCACAACATAACATGGCACACGCACACACACGTACATGGATCTCTAGGGAACGAAACCAACCACCCAACACCCTACACCTTAAATCCCCTCTCTGAAGATCTCCAACTGTCAATAACGGCTTTTGTTCAGTGGAGCTCGCTCTGCCTCCGACGTCGCCCATTCTCTCGCTCTCTCTCTCTCTCTCTCTCTCTCTCTTTGACTATCTCTATCCTCATATCAGCTGCACCCAAATATCTCTCTCTTTCGCTCTGTCTCTCTCTGTCAAGTCCAGCGTCATCATGTGCATGCGGATGCAACGATTCTCTCTCACTATGTTCTATGTTTTTGGTACTCTCTGATTCTCTCTCTTGCAGACACCGATACCACCAAATCGCGGCTGGCGTAAAACGCGCTTATCCAAATCGACACTTCTCTCAAATACAGAAATTGTGAGTCGTCGTTTATAGACTGGGATGCTGTTGTTGTGTAGAGAATGAATGCTCGTTACGTAGATATGTCAACGAAACAAACACACAAAGATAATAACACAGATAAAACAGAAAAACACAGATAAACAAACACACAGACACACACGTGACTACTCCGGATGTAGCGGGTCCAATTAGTGGGTCCTGTTTAATGGCTTGCGACCACGAATGAGCACGGTCTACATAGATCCATGCACCCCACACACAACACACAATCCCACAGATAATCGCAGATAAAAATACACTCGCGGGACACACGGAGACTTTCTCGGAGTATCCTGCCGTAACCAGTGCCACCTGCCCCCACCCAACAGAAAACTGATCGGGAGACCACATTTGATTTTTCTGCTAACTTTTCTCTCTCTATCTCTCTCTCTCTCTCTCTCTCTCTGCTTCTCACTCTATCTGCATGCTTTCTGTTCCAATGCCTGCCTTGTGCCTGCCTCTCTTTTGCTCCCCTTTGTCACTATCCAGAACGTTGGCTGGGATCTGCCGCATGGACACTCGCTGCAGGCCCGCTGCCAGGAATTGGGCATCTACAAGCTGCTCGGGGAGTCGCGTGTGCTCTGCTCCAATGGGCTGTGGGCTCCTCGCATGCCCAGCTGTGTGCCCACCACTGTGCTGACCAACTACTCGGAGGACAGTGCCCCGTCCATTCGCATCAAGATCTTCAATGGCTCCCACTCGTTCGAGCCCTCCGGCGTGATGGCTGTGCCACCGCACAGCACTGTGCTGATGGACTGCATGTATCCACGGGTGCGTGGCACCCCCGAGTGGAGCTGGACCAGCTGGTACATGCAGTACGCGACAGGTGAGTGGCAGCCGCCTGTGGCAGGAGCTCCTTTTGAATCAATTTCCCTCCTTTAGGTTGGTCTCCCGCACAGGAGGAGAAGGCTGTACGCTATCGTCTGAGCATCAAGAATATCGAAAACAATGATTCGGGCACCTTTACCTGCACTTCGCCGCGCGGACTGACAAACAGCATTGCCGTCGTGGTGGCCACTTCGACGTGCCCGCAGCTGACAGAGCCGCTGGCGCCGCTCAGGCTGCGCCTCGAGGGCAACAAGCTCGGCCAGCGTGCTCTGTATGAATGCCCCGAGGGCTTCCGGCTGGATGGCGCTTGGAATGCCACCTGCCTGGCCTCCGGCAATTGGTCATCGCCGCCGCCAACATGCCACTCCATCCAATGCCCGCGCCTCGAACTCGACGATCCACATCTCAGTCTCATTGAACTCAATACCTCGGCATGGGGGCGCGCGGTGTTCAAATGCCAGTGGGGTTTCAAGTTGACCGGACCGGCACAGCTGGACTGTGAGCCGACGGGCGTCTGGAGTGGCCCCGTTCCGCGTTGCAAAGGTGAGTGGGGGGAGGATGGGGATTGATAAATTGATAATCCTTTTATTTGATTATGTGATTCCCCCTGCACACCACACCGCAGTCATTCAGTGCGTGATGCCAGTGGCGCCGCTCAATGGACGCATTGGGGGTACGAGTCTCAGTCAGCGGCGGTTGACCGTGGGCGCTCTGGTCACATTCAGTTGCAATGATGGGCACACCCTGGTGGGCGAGTCGAGTATCATTTGCACGGAGAACGGATTCTGGTCGCACTCGCCGCCATTTTGTAAGTAGACAACCGCTGCTAACATACACACATAAACGCACAGATATGCTGCGAGAGATCCGAACCCAAATCTTCCGAGTGGGGCCCACTCCACACCAACCATCCAAAATGAATTAATGACTCTTGTGTTGTATTTCCGCTGTAACAATCGACCGATTGCGTTCCCGATACCGATTACGAACCGATACTGATACCGATCACCAATCATCGATCACAAACATACCACCACCACCATGCATGCCCAATGACCATCCATGCAATGCTCTCCATGCTCTCGCCCAACGTGCAGGCAAGTCGCAGTGTCCGTATCCCGGCGACCCGCCCAACGGTCTGATAGCTCCCCTCAAGTTCAACTACGATGCGGGCGACTACCTGAGCGTACAGTGCCGGCCCGGCTTTGTGCAAACTAACGAGGACCACCGGAACACGGGGCCGCCCGAGCGACCGAAGTGCCAGCCGGATGGCAAGTGGTCCGGCCCGCTGCCAAAGTGCCGCAGCTACGAGGAGGTGTAACCGCACACAAACATATAGAGAAAATCCCAAGACGCCATTCCATTTGATTGGATCGAGCTGGCAGCCGCCCTAATTTAGTATTATGTGAACACCACCCATCCAACCAAGGTGAATAATGTGGAATGTGTGCTAGAAAAATTCCAAATTCAAGCAAAAAGCAGAAAACAGAACGACAACAAGAACATCAAGAAACCGAGTGATATTTAGATTAACTTAGTGAGAGGTATCAAAATTAATAAATATTTTACTAGATATGTTCATTCCACACCTAAATTATACACAGAAACACAAATGTATGTACTTTTTATTGCATTGCACTACACTACAAAAATAGTCTTTAGTCTGAGCTCTCTCGCTCTCTATACCGCTGCTGCACAGGCCCACCCCACACGAAAAAAAGTCCCAGTCTTCTCCAAAGGATTAGGTTGATCTCAAGCAAGCTACATGCATATATTCATACACAATATTTATTGTATGGAAGATAATCGTATTTTGTTCTTCTGATTGTAAAACTTTTCAAAATAATATTCAGTAATCGTTTCGCTTGAAGTTTGAACAGAATAATTCTTGTACTTGAATATATAAAGGAATATTTAATCCAATGCTAATTACAGGTATTTATGTATTATGGTTGCAAATCAAAGTTGCATAAGAAATGTAAATGTTGAAACAAACAAAACCACACACTTACCCACAGTAAATATATACAAAACATATGCAGAATATTAATTCTACTATCAAAATAAATGTTGAAACCCGAAGGAAGCCGCAAAAGAGTTGCACCCACATACACACAATTAGTTAGGAGAAACGAAAAGTAATGCAAATCCAAAGTAAAAGTAAAAGCAAAAGCAAAGCGAAACGAAACGAAATGAAGCCCCTGGATTCCTGGGGGCAGTTGAAAGTCATGTCCTTTTAATATCTCTCACATGGAGAAGGACATGTGTACCGTACAGAGTGTATAAGCAGCTGCAGTGCATGTGTGGTGTGTAAAGAGATGGACATTTTAAATAAATTACGAATATTGTGTAAAATGCAATTGCCAGTCTTTAACTGTGTTTCTCTTGTCTGTGTGACTTTATCTACCTGCTGAGAGAGAGCGAGTGCATGGCAAACCATAGAGAAGGTATGGTCAACCCAGTGAGCGGTCTCTACTTTAAAGCTTCTTACGTGCACTTGGCTGGGGGAGAGGATCGATGAGAGCGAGACGCCCAGCGAAAGCGTGAGAGCTTTACCTTGCACAAAGCTACCTTGCGTTTCATCTGCCTGAAAGAGAATAAGTGTGAGTGAATGGGTGGAGGAGGGGCAAAACAAATAACTGTTTCGACTAAACTTTTGCCAACGCAAGCGAAAGCGCAGCCAGCCGCGATGAGCGTTTGACTGAAATACAAGAACAAATTATTCCGTTACCTCATAAACGAGTGTGTGCACACATGTGATGTGTGGCTACCTCACCTCGCCCGCTGCACGGTGGGGGTGTCTCTCGCAAATCGTAAGTGAAATTAATTTAGCAACGGAGTGTGGGAGCCAAATAACTGTTGGTAATGGCCCTTTTACACCCTCATGTTTAATGTTTGTTTCATTTTTGTCACCACATTTTCCATTTCACTCCATCGTATACACCTGGAAATTAATTTGTTTTGTTCTGCAGCACCTTCAAACGATTGGAAGGAAGCTTCATTTACCGCCAGCAGCCAACAGCTCATTTTCCACACATGGCCACTAAAAACCCCATTGTCGTTTATTCACAGCAGCCACGCCCAGGTGCTACGCCCTCGGCCCACACATTTAATGGCAATTTAGAGCCTGTGGCGGCGGGGGATTGTGAGAATGCTGCGAAAAAGGTGTCTAAATTGAGATGCCCCGTGTCGTCGCAGGCAGCAGTGCTCCGTGTGTGCGTAATTAAAATTAACTGCTGCTGGCTGCTGTGGTTGCCACAGCTACTGTTGCCTCCTCCTTTTTGAGGCAAATTGGTTTTGCTTGTTTGCCAGTCCCAAAAAATTAATACACATCCCCGCCCCACCCCGCCCTTTGGTTGGGCCTGACATAAAACTCGCATTTAACTTTTAGCGCAGGCAACTTTAAGACGCAAAACTGTGTTGGTATCACTGTGGAGCACACATGCAATTAGCCGCGTGCCACGTGGCATGCCCCATCCAGTTGCATATCCATTTCCGATCTGCGCAAAAAGTTGAACAATTTTCATTAGCACCTCGAAAAGTTTCGTTTCACAGTTACGGAAGGAAATGGCAGGGAGAATGGAGGAATGGACGATGGAGCATGGCAGAAGGGCATTCTCGGATATCCGAGTCAGCTCAAACATATCACAACTGCAATATTTTGTGTCCGTGCTCGGGTCACAACCAATGAACTATGCATGTCACGTAGCTCAAAACCTGCCTCGCCCTCAGCCTGACCTCTTCTCTACCCAACCCCCCACCACTTTCATAGTCATAAAAAACGAGCTTGGACCCGTCTGCCCAGCAGCCCTACTCCGCTCTGGATGTTAAATGCATTCCAAAGCCATGGGGCTAACTGCTCTTGAACTCCCCATAACCCTTGTCTGTGTGTGTCGCTTCGTGTCAGCCAGGAGACAAAGTGCACTGTTGGCCATAAAGATATCTATGCCATTTATTCGTAGCATTCCGCTGGCTTTAAACTTTTCCAGCTTTCATCTGGAATAGTTGACAAATTTTTCCATATCCCACATAGTGCCCTGAGCTAGCGTTTTGGGACAAAAATAATCAAAATTCTTGGACCAATTTGTATGCAAAACTCAAGAGCAATTACTCATGGAGACCAAGAGGGAGCCAGAGGAACCTGAGAGACCCATAGGCAGAGCGGCATAAATGAGTTGGGTAAACATTTGGGATGGGGATGGAATGGCGTGAAAGTAGCTGAAGATATTCGTATCATTAATCATCAACGATTGAAGTAAACACTTGAATAAATTGGCATTGTGTGATGCTAGCATGGGAATAGCCACACCAAAACAATCGCTAACAAAATGCAACCCCGAAAACCGACATTCCAGTTCTGTTGCCATGATTCTGCGGACCAAACATGACAGCTGTCAGTGGGTGGGTATCTATGTATCTGCTGATATCGGTCATGTGCTTTCATATTTGATTAATTAATGTCAGGCTTTGCACCCATCCTGCCTCCTGGCCGGCCTGCTTTGCTGCTCTCTGTCTCAAAGAGCACATCATAATGAGCTGAAAAGTGCCTCCAGGCTGTTTGTGTAAATATTCGTGGCACACGAAATTGCAATATGGCAATGGGCTGGGCTGCCGAATGTGCTTCAATTTGTGTGCAGAGATATCTTAATTGCAGGCTCAACTTGCAGCCAGGATGGCTGGGAAACTGCAGCCCATTTGTGGGAATATTTTAAAGGTTTGACATTAAAGAGCTGTAGTAATTACCTGAGTAATTACCTACTGGCTCTGGGGCTGCGGTATTGGCGCTTATTAAAACTTCACACCAGCCAGCCATCAGCCAACCTGCCAGCGACACTTCTTTCCGGCCAAAGCGCAAATATTTGAGTGGCAAAAGGAACTCCAACTCACACTTGAACTCGTACACCGACAATGGTTCCCCAAGGAGCATTTTGTTGCGCTCTGCACTCTAATTAATCCAACAAAAAGAGAGAGAGAGAGAGAGAGAGAGAGAGAGACTCTCTCTTAAGGTGCGTGGCACATTCGATTCAATTCCCACGCACCGGGCTGCCTAGGGATTTATTTCTGCGTGCGGGGGAGTAGCTGAAATTAACATTTAGATTAAAGCGCGACGAATTAACATTTTTCCATAAATATTTATTTGAGAGTCGGAGATCGGAGATCGGAGACCGGATACTGGTGCAAAAAGTTAAACAGTTTCCACAGCTTTGGCTGCTTGGTTGCAACTCCAACTCCCACTCCGCGACTCTGAAAGTATTTTGCATTTTGCCACAACGTAATCCGAATCGGATGCAAAAACGAAGAGCAACAATGGACGCGAAGCAGTTGAAAAGAAACGAAGAAAATGCGGGGAACACCCCCACAGACTGGACAGAGCCAAGCCAAGTCGCAGCTGCTGCTGCTGCCTGCTTGAAGGCAGACAATTTATTATAATGCTGATATGCCAGCTCCTCTTTTTCTCGCTTTCTGCTCTTTGTTATCATTGATAACAGCGCGGGTATCGAAGCATCTGGCAATCGATATGAACCGGAGCTCCATGTGCAATCATCTGCAATGGAGAGTCGAATAAACAAATGAAGAGCACAAAGATTCTGCCTTTCGGTGGATGGCAATTGAAATGGAGGGAGCCTTCCCATAATACTGTTTCCCCATCCAACCAAAAACCATGATATGCAAATTGACTTTTCCGCCCTTAAAGTTATGATATGGCAGACCAAACGCTTGCCACATTTACATTTGCAAAAACATTACCATAATTGTGCCATCAACAGATATGTACATAAATATATGTAAATACATAAGAGATACATAGATACATACATATGGGAATGTAGCTGCCTCCTGAGTGACTCGATTCCGCTTTCGATGCTTCCAGCTCAGTGATTTTTAATAATAAAACAACGAAAAGCAAACAAACATACAAATTGATAGCCCGCTGTGCGTGTGTGCACTGAGCGAGAGAGCGCAAAAGTTGCTTTACTTTACACCTTTTCCTGTGTCTGGCAGCCATAAAATCCACAGCAGGCAGAACGAGGAGTTGGAGCAGCAACAGGAGGAGACTGAGGAACAATGGCCATAAAGGCGTTGCGGCTCCGGCAAAAGACAAAGTCAAGTTGAAGGCACAAGCCTCAAGTACGAAATGACAATTGACACGAGTTGGCAGCAAGCACACCATGCCACACACACACACACAACCACACACCTTGAACTGGGCAGGCAAAGGAAACTCGAACCGCAGTCCTTCCTCCACCCCAGCGTCCCTTTTTGCGCGCTTCACGCAATTTATTTTATTGTTGTTTGGCAAACAACTTTCATAAGTTTCCAGCTGTTCACAAACGGCACTCAATTTTGGTCGCCATAGTAGTCCTTGTCCCTGCCCTGTCCTGCCCTGCCACCTCTCTCCTGTTGGTCATTGAAAGTTATAAAGTGAGTTTTTGCATTATTAGTTGCCAGTTGGTGTTACAAAGTTGCTTGCCACAAGCGGAGGCAGCAGCACGAGCGGACAGACACAGGACAGTTGGACATAATTACCATAAGCAGCTGGGCAGCTGCCGCTGCGGCGGCATTTAAATTTGCAACTGCCCCGTGTGCCGACACTCAAAAAACGAGGCAGAAAAAAAGAAATTCAATTATGGAATCAATGCAAATTTTGTACAGTCAAAGATGACAAAACAAATTGAGGAAAAATTGTGCAAAACTTGCTGAAAAATAAGCCGAAAGTGAATGCTCTTGCTGAGCTCTAAATTTTCCATATTTTCTTGCCATTTCGTGTATCAATTCATGGACTTTGGAGAGCAACGAACAGACCGCAGAGCACAGCCAATCCAACTGGACCCCCATGCATGGCTGATGCAAATACTATCAAAATACGCAAATAACGTTGCATGCCACAACAAGTCTGAACTGAACTGAACTGAACTGAATGCTGTGTAGTTTGGGGGGGTCTGGTCTTTGGGCAGAGGATTTGCATGCACAGAAGAGAAGGCCGAATCAATGCCGAAAAGCCAAAAAGTCAATCAATTGCTAGAAAATCGAAAAACCAAATCGCCGCAGAGGGACAACAAATATTTGTTGCTGCTGTGGCACGCACTCAGACAGCAGCTGCAACTTGTACGTGTGTGTAAATGATGTATATCTAATTGGTGTTTGTGTTTGCGGCAAACAATAAATAAAGTCTAGCCAATGGACACTTCAGCAAAAAACAATTACGGCGGACAGCAGCAGTCCATGGGGGATTTGGCACTCGACTGTCGACTGGTTTGTCCTCTGGTTGGTTGATTTGTTTACTTAAACAATAAATAAAAGCATGCACGAAGGCAGGCAGCAGCACAACCCTTGGCAGATTGAAAGCTTATCGATTCAG